GTACTAGGTGTTAGGGGAATAATTATGATATGCAGTAGGTCAGATTTTGGACAAAAACAAAATTATACAAAATTGATGTCCCTAATGAGAAAACATCTTTCATACATGCCTCACAAAATATGCATTTGAATAAAGGAGGCTACATTGTGATGTATATAAATCTAACTCACTAAAAACAAATTCCCAGGGCGACCCACTAGCTCATGCCATACTATAAGATAATTTAGGTCTTTAAAATTTTTAAAAATGTATCGCAACATATGACGTACCCAAAAAACATATGCATATATAATCATATATGAAAACATATATATCAGACGACATTATAAGGGTACACAACAATCATAATGAAGCTGGGAAGTTGACAAATAATAATAGACCTTCAAGATTTTCCAAAAATCTGTATCCTCATCTTTTCAAAGAGTAACATCATTAGCTTCATACAAATTGATATGATATAATTCACTCCCTCGTTTGCTTTGAGCAAATTGATATGATATAATTCGCTTATATCTTTCAAATAGCATTCAAACCAATTATATCATGTATGACATAAATCAAAGATCATTCTTATAAAGGAGCATACTACTCCTTAAATAACATAGAATTGCATTAAGTCATATTCCGAGAGAGATTCGTCATTTTGACATCTTAAAATTTAGTCAAAAAAGGATTATCATAATTTTTTGATAATAGCAATCCTTTCGGGGTTGATATAGGATTTATGGAACAAATAATAATTTCACTTTGAATTAGCAACCAGTCAATTGCATACGAGGGTCATGATTTCCTGCATGAGAAAAATTTCTGTAAATAAGCATGCCAACTAAGAGAAGTAGTAAACTTCCTCGGAAAATAAAGTCCAGGAAGTAAACATCATCTGAAAAGTAAATTTATGGAAAGTAATGTTGGATATCTCGTTGGTATAACCCAATAATAATCCTAAAATATAAGAATTATTATTTTCTGTAGAAAAAGGGAAGGAAAGATGAAGGGATTGGCTTCGTGTTTGGTGTAGGGTTTTTAGCAAGAGTCAAGCGATCACTCTTTCCTTAAAACCTTATTTGCTACCTCCCACAAGTGCTAGGAGCGTTGTAGCCTAGGCTTCCCAGGATAAAACTTGCTACGATTCAGTGTTTGAGCACCCAAACAAAGAATCCGGCGAACTAGAGCAAGATTAACCAGTATGGTTAAGAAAGGAGTAGAGACAAAGAGTTTTTGAGGCTAGCAAATTATCTTTCTTATGTGTAAATTTTCTGGTGCCTCTACCCAAACTGACATTAAACTAGCCTTGCAACAGCTATAACAGCAGGCCACTACCTTAAAATTAAATTCATAATTCACGCTCCACGCATATCTTATGCCCGCAAGGCCTCACGAGATTAGGCTTAAGCCAAGCCTTTTCAATCTCATTTTGGGATTTGGTTTGCACCCCCCTTGTGCGCGAGAGAGAGCCTCTATGCTATACAATTCAATAAGTTTAAAAGAGCTTTTGTATAAATAGTGGGGCAAATCCTCTTCCCAAACCAATGTGGGACAAAAGCTCACTTTTTTCCTTCATTTTCCAACTCAAATGGGTCTACTTGGTGGGGCTCATCTACTCATAAGTAGTTAACAGACAAGAAGTATTATCACTAATTTCACAGAAACAATAATTGAAGGTTCCAAACCAAACTCATAGTCATATATACACATAATATTTATACATAAACAATGGCATAGATTCCCATAATATAAAATGCACAGGAAAACAACCAATAGTACCGTTCACTGGAGATTACAATGACGAGTCGTGCAGATGACGTGTTGTAATTTGATGTTCGATTAGCCCAAGTCTACCGGTATAGTTGTACGGAAATGCATGTAGTTTGTATTCAAGGGAATATATATACAATCTAATAACCTTTCATATCTTCAACATATAACATTAATAGGGAAGATGAAGGAATTGGAGAAACAATGACCATCAAAATAGAATATTTATAACAAAAATTTATTTTACACTTGTCCTAACATTCTGTTTAGTTAAAAATAACAATTTTGTTTTTGTTTTTTTGTTTTTTGTTTTTTGGTTCTATTTGGTTCATTTTTCAAAAAAATAACATAAATTATTACACAATTATCTCCTATAAAATATTAATTATCCATCTATACAAATGAAAAAAAAAAAAGTAAACAAAATTATTATCCGATTAATTTTTACCTGTGTGAAGGTAGCAACTAAAAAATTGGTTTATGCCTTCTAAAAGGCAAAAACATTTTTAAAAAATTGGACAAAACAAAAAATTGAAGGTAAAAAATCTAACATATAGGTTTTAAAAAATAACTTAAATTTGAAGATAAAAATAAAAAGAAGAAAGAGGATGAATACATGTACATAGACTTGGTTAATTCTCGTAAAAAGTGAGACAAGTGATGGAGCCGATATGAGAGTTCAAAAGAGAGAGCAGAAGGAGATTTGAAAAATGATATTTTAGTAAAAGTTTATGAGGATATTTTTTCATTGAAATGAATTTTTGTTTCTTTAATTAGAATGAATATTTTTTATTGACTTTGGAGGTGTTTGGTAAATAGGCCAGGGCAAATAGTTGTCAGCTGATTGAGTTAATGAGTTTGGCTAGTTGATAGTATATATTAGATGATTGTAGAAAGATGTTTGGTAAATTAACTGTTATTTGATAGTTGATAACATACCAAATGACTTTTTCAAAAAGCTAATCCAAAAAGCTGATTTGAGCATCTTTTTGAATTTTAGTGTTTTGGAGAAATAAGCTATTATAAAAATCTAATTAATCAAACACTCATATTTGTTGTTTAACCAAGTCAAACGGTTAATAGTGGTCAAACAAGCTAGAATTGCATTGGCTGATAGACTAACTATTTTACCGAACATGACCTTTATTTTCTTTGAATAGCCAAATACCAAAAATAAAATCTAGAAAATAACTTTCAAAAGTCACATTCCAAGTTTTCAAATAAACTCTTGCTTTAAAAAAAGAGTAAATACCCAAAATGGTCCCTAGACTATAGCTAAATTCACAAATTGATCCTCGACTTTCAATTTTAACCAATTAAGTCATTAACTTTGCAATTTTAACACGATTTGGTCCTCTGTCTATTTGACCGTTTGTTGACTGTGATTTTTTAGGATATATATGTAATTTCATGGTCTATCGTCAGTTTTTTAAGGTTCCAGTTGCATTTCCATACCGCACTGTTACATTTGAATCCACTGCCGAAAGCAATCTCCCAAATCCTGTCGCCTTTCTTCATTCTCCCTTTGGATTCAATGTAGTTGAGTTCGTACAAGAGCGAAGAAGTAGACGACGTGTTTCCGAATCGGTGCAGCGTCATCCTGGAGGCCTCCACATGCTCCGACGAGAATTGCAGGTTCTTCTAGAGATCGTCGATGACGGCGTAGCCGCCAGCAATGATGCAGAAGTGTTCAAAGGCCTGTTTGAAGTCGGGAATGTAGGGTTTCCATTTGGGATTGAAGATTTTCCGGTTGATTAGGGTGAAGAGGAAGATAAGCTGCTCCGATGGCGGGAGAACGAGCGGGCCGATTGTGGTTATGTTGGATTTGAGGGCTTCACCGATGATCACCATTAGGTCTTTTGAGAGGTTGATTCTGACTTTTCCTTGCGGATCTTCCTGCTCGTAAACGCAACGGTAGGCTTTATGGTCTGCGCCCTTGTGCGTGCGGACCACGTGCATGAGCCGGTACTTGGCCCGACCCGAATCGCGCTTCTTGTTGGACACGAGAATCGCCCAGCGCCGCCCAGTAGACTCAAACACGGTTGTTTGAGGCGTTGGAGCTGATAAAGATTACAAATTGGGTTGTAGCGCCGACAATGATGAATTATGCGAAGGTGTTTGGGCGGTGGATTGTGTCGTGGTAGTAGGTGAAGGCTATGCGGTGGAGTGTATCATGGCAGTAGATGAGGGCGGCTAGACAATGGCTTGTGGTTGGGAGATAGACTGTGTCACGGCAGCGGATGAGGGCGGGCGGTGATGAAATTACATATATATCCTCGAAGATCACGGTCAACAAACGGTCAAATAGATGGAGGACCAAATCGTGTTAAAATTGCAAAGTTAAGGACTTAATTGGTTAAAATTGAAAGTCGATGACCAATTTGTGAATTTAGGTATAGTTGAGGGACCATTTTGGGTATTTACTCTTAAAAAACCTATAATTTTCGTTGATTTGATTTTTAGCTTACATAAAAAAAATTAATAATAAAAAAAAAATAAAAAATAAAAATTTTGTGTGTGTGTGTGTGTGTTTTTTTCTTTGATTACTACTGAGTCTGAGTCTGTTACATTGGAGTATTTGTTCAAGTAAGCACAAAGAGTTAATACCGTTGGGACTTGAATTTCATGCCCCTTGATCAGAAGATCATCATTGGCATAAATTATGTGGTTAGTTTTGAGTGAAGGCATTCTTTTTTTTTTTTTTTAAATCAACATACTTTTTTAATGCATGGACTGCTGCTGCAAGTGAAATTGTTCCCATTCGGTTAGAAGTTTGTGGCAGTTCTCTAAAGGCCTGGGGCGGAAATTTTGTACAGACGACAGAGAGGAAATTGCGTCACATCTTTCACGAATAAACTCCCTAAGTGAGAGGCGTGATGCTATGTCTCTTAATCTGGTTCGTGACCTTGATAGTAGACTACATGCTCTAAATGATCAACTGAACATGTATTGGAAACAAATAGCTAAACAGTTTTGGTTAAGCAAAGGTGATCGAAATACCAGGTTCTTCCATCATTATGCAACGGCGCGAAAGAGGAAAAATATGATTACTAAGCTTAAGGACGAGGATGGAAATTGGGTTGATGGACCTAATTTACTTGCACTAGCCAAGAGATATTATGCTGGGATTTTTACGGCTAAGGGGACATCATGGATGATGCGTTGATTGGTATTACACCAAAGATCACCGCTGCTGATAATTCTGCCCTCCTACGCATGATGACGTTAAACATGCTCTTTTTAGTATGACGCCGGACAAATCCCCAGGTCCTAATGGTTTTAGTCCGGGTTTTTTCCAGCATTTTTGGAAAGAAATCGGTGAGGAGGTATCGAGGTTCATCATTGATTGTTTGAACGGTGGCAACTTCCCGGAAGGTATGAATGATGCGATTATTACTTTAATTCCTAAGAAGTCTGTACCTTCTGTTATGGGTGAGCTGCGCCCAATAGTGTTATGTAATGTAACGTACAAGATCTGTTCCAAAATATTGGCTAACAGGATGAAGGAAGTCATGGAAAGAATATATCACCCTCTCAGTATGCTTTTTTGTCTGGACGTTTTATTACAGACAATGTGTTAGTAGCCTCGGAGATTATACATTTCTTAAATCGTAAGAGGGATGGTCGAGAGGGGTGGTGTGCTCTCAAGCTAGACATTGCTAAAGCATACGATAAGATGGAGTGGACTTTTTTAAAGGGAGTGATTGTTGGATATCCGTTGGTGAAAACAAATAATAATCCAATAAAAACAAGATTATTATTTTCCTAGAAAAGAAGGGAAGGAAAGATGGAGAATTTGGCTAGTGTTTGGTGTTGGGTTTTTTGCAAGAGTCAAGCGATCACTCTTTCCTTAAAACCTTATTTGCCACCTCCCAAAAGTGCTATGAGCGTTGTGGGCTAGGCTTCCCAGGATAAAACTTGCTATGATTCAATGTTTGAGCACTCAAACAAGGAATCCGGCGAACAAAGCAAGATTATGACACAGTAGGCTTAAGAATGGAGTAGAAGCAGAGAGTTTTGAGGCAAAAAGATACTTTCTTTTTGTGTAAAATTCTACTGCCCAACTCTTTCTTATATAGGGATTGAGGAGTTGAATAGCTTTTAATTTAGGCATTAAAGGGTACCCCTACAACTCCTGTAACAGCAACCATTAACATGGATTTTAATTCAAAATTTAAAATTGGAATTAATTCAAAGAATGCTTCAGTTCGGCCATGGCAAGGCCGAACTTTCGGCCACTAGGCCGAAACATCAACTTTCGGCCATGCATTTCTTTCGTCGCCATTTAGGAAAGCGGTTTTAACGTCCATGTGATGAACTTCCAGATTCCGCAACGCGGCTATGGCAAGTATCATCCTAATGGAGTTTATTCTCGTCACATGAGAATACGTGTCGAAGTAATCAAGGCCCTCGCATTGCCTGTAACCCTTGATTACAAGCCTAGCCTTATACTTCTCGATGGAACCATCAGGTTTCATCTTCCTTTTAAAGACCCATTTGGATACTAAAGGTTTACTACCAGGAGGAAGATCAACAAGTTCCCAAGTGTGATTCTGTAGGATAGAATCTACTTCACTTTTTATAGCCTCTTTCCACATTGGTCCTTCCGTAGATGTCACGGCTTCTACATACGTTCGAGGCTCGTTCTCTATCAAACAAGATAGAAAATCGGGTTCATTTTCTAATAAACAAGTTAGAGTACCCGAATCACACTCTAACAAGTAAGTTAGAAAATCAGGACTGAATGATTTTCCAACTCTCGCCCGCTTACTGCGTCTCAGCTCGAGCTCGGGTTCTTTCTCAGATTCCCCACTATCATTATCCATAGTTTCGTCAAACATTCGTTTTGACGTACTTGGTCCCTCGTTGGACCTACAAGGAAATATATTTTAAAAGAAATATGCATTCCTTCATTCTATTATCATGTTCTCATGTACGTCCGGATTATGGGACTCGTGTACTAAGAACCGATAAGCACTACTATTATGTGCATGGCCAATAAAGATACAGTCCACCGTCTTAGGGCCTATCTTTACTTTCTTAGGTGTTGGCACCAAAACTTTGGCAAGACACCCCCACACTTTCAGGTATTGGTAGAAAGGTTTCCTACCGTTCCACAGCTCATAAGGAGTCTTATCGAGCTTCTTGCCGGGTACCTTATTCAAAAGGTAATTACTTGTCAAAATCGCCTCACCCCAAGCATCTTGAGGTAGACCCGAACTTATAAGCATCGCATTCATCATGTCTTTCAATGTACGATTCTTTCGTTCGGCAACACCGTTCGATTGAGGTGCGTAAGGTGTCGTACGCTCGTGTATTATACCTACACTTGCACAGAAGTCACCAATCGGTGCTTCGTACTCACCACCTCTATCGCTTCTAACCTTCTTAATTCTCCGATTAAGTTGGTTTTCCAGTTCATTCTTATAAAGAATGAATTTATCAACGACTTCATCTTTGCTCTTAAGGAAATACACATAGCAGTATCGTGTGCTATCGTCGATAAATGTGATAAAATACTTATTACCACCTCTCGTTTGTATTGATCTAAAATTGCACAAATCACTATGGATTAATTCTAGTGGTTCAGTTTCCCTTTCTACCGATTTGAAAGGTACTTTCGTTAGTTTTGCTTCAACACAAATTTCGCACTTGTTATTTGTGTTAATTTGAAAGTTAGGAATATGGTCCATGCAAATTAATCTACGCATAGAATTAAAATTAACATGACCTAGTCTACCATGCCACAAATTGGAAGACTCAAGCAAGTAAACAGATTAACTTTGCCTTTATTGATAACAGGAATTACACTGAGCTTAAAAAGCCCATCAGTTACATATCCTTTATGTGACACCCCGTAAATCCAAACTCTAATTAAGGATTAATTAGGGAATTAATCCTAGTCTTATTGTTAATTTATTCCTAAAATCCTGAAAATTCAATAGCCGGGGGACTAGAATTTGACTAGTCAATCCAAGTCAAAGAGTTGTACCTTATGCCTAGTGAGTTGTTCCCTTGTCTCCTTATTCTTCCAACTTTAGTAAGGGCAAAGGAGTCTTTCTACCTAAAGTTTGTGCTCCAAGCTAACCTAGCATCATCCCTTCATTTCATCCACCAACACTCTAAACACAAAACCTCTACCTTCTCTCTAAGAATTTGGTAGCTTCTGCTTCAAGCCAAAATTGGGCATCCTAAATCCTACAAGTTGTCTTCCAAGATTCATACTTTCCTAATATTGAGCATAATGGAGGGTAAGATCCTTGATCTCTTGGTGTTTTTAGCATCCTTTTAGTTGTCTTTTTCTAAAAATAGAATCTTTGCTGTCTTTTGGGTTGTTTGTGAAGTTGGTGTTGAATGAGAGCTTTAAGAGAAGCTTTCCAAGGTTGGAAAAGGGAAGTTCTAGGCTACAAAGGTAACCCATGCTTTACAAAACCTATTTTCTTACTTATATGATGATTTCTTGACTTCTACTTGTGATTCTTGTGTTGAAATGTGAGATTTGATGCATTGTCTTGTGGTGATGCATGTTTAGAGCTTGTACTTCGGGTTCTTGAATGCCATTGCTTGGCTATTTCTTGGGTTCAAGTCATATTATTGTATTGTGTGAGATTTTGGGTGTTTTGGACTTGAATTTGGACTTGTTGTTGAAAATCCCCGAAGGGATTATTTTTGGTGTACAGGTGTACCCGCGGGCGGAACGGCGGGCAGAGCTCCACCCGCCGCCCCACCCGCGGGGTACGTGCCTCGTGGGTTGTTATACCCACGGGCGGAGCCGCGGGTGGTTGTCCACCCGTGGCCCCACCCGCGGGGAACACATGTGGATGTTGGCGGGGATTTGTTCCTCGTGATTCTTTTGACTCGGTATTGATGTTTTGACCTCCCGATGTTGTTTTATTGGGCGATTTGAGTGTCTTCTTGATGTTTCGTATGTGTAGAACGGTATGTTAGGAATCCATGTAGGATTTGGTGTCTTGAATCGTGCTTGTGGTCCAACTTTGTGATTCGTTGGATTGATGTTGAGTCTTGTATGTTCTATGGAATTACTTTTGGTTTACCCGTTTGATAAACATGCTAGTTTGATGTTGAAATGCTAGTGTGTGAGGTTTGTTCTTTCCTCTTGAGATTGGCAACTTGTGTTGACCATCGTTTGGTGTTGGATTGTGATCTTTCGTTGTTGAGTATGATTTCATATCTTTGTTGTGATCCATTGATTGATTCCTATGATGTGAACTTGTGTAATTGTTGTACCATTTGACGGAAGCATGACTAAGGTTTATGGGGCCTTAGTTTTCCTGATAATGATACGGTCCTCGTGTGGCCATGATTGAAATTGGTGGTGTGACCTGAGCGTAGGCTCATATGTTGGCGGTTGTGTGATATGAATTGTACCCTCGTGTACTAATATGTTGGCGGAAATGTTGGCAGTTGTTGGTGGGGGAACGACGGTTCCCGGAGGCATAAGGTTGGACCCAGAAGTACAGGGGTTACTCGGAGGTAATGGTTGGAACTGTAATAAGGCCGGGGTAGCCATAAGGTTGGAACAGGGCATAAGATTGGAACTATGATATTTGTGACATGTAGTTGTCATTGTGGCATGTAGTTGCCAATGTGTGGATGTGTTTCTTTGCTATTGAGCATGTCTTGATATATTCTACTTTGTGATCAGTAAAATACATCTCGAGTTGTATTGTTTACTGTTGGTATTCTTGTCTTGTTGTCATGGGATGTTGATTTCCCTCTTTCCTTTGAGAGTGTGAAAAAGTATTTAAAGTTGACTTCTCTCTATGGCTTTTGAAATGATATATACTGTATTCCGTTTCGAAAATGGTTTTAACTTATACTATCTATATATGTTATTTAACGCGTATTGATGGGTTACCAGCAATGTTCGCTGACCGGGTGTCATCCCCTATCTTTATGTTGCTTTACAGGTTATGAGTAGCATGTTGGAGAGCGCGCTAGCAGTTCGTTAGTTAGTGTAGCTCCCTATGACTGTTTTGTTAGACTTTTGGCCTGTGAGCTACGGATTTTTATACGAGTATGACTTATGTGTTTGTTTAGATTTAGCCTGTGCACCTATAGATGTATAGGTGTGGCATAACATCACCCGTACTTGTCTTTTAGCTTCTGCTTTACTTTGATCTCGATGAATAGACTTTATCTCTTTATTAATCTTTAATTGGTTTTTAAAAGTTGTGAAAATCGGGGGTGTTACACTTTACCAACAAACATCCCTAACTTGGACAAAACTACTTTGTCTGACTCGAACACCATGCGAAAGCCATGCTTGTTCAACAGAGAGCCAGACACAAGATTCTTCCTCAGCTCCGGAACATACAGCACGTTGTTCAACGTCAGTTCCTTCCCGGAAGTCATCTTCAGAACCACTTTGCCCATGCCTTCCACAGCAGACCGAGCAGAGTTTCCCATCCACACCTTTTCACCCTCAACGGTCTCAAAGGTGTTGAACATCTCTCGGTTGCAACACAAATGCCTGGTTGCACCGGTGTCGATGAACCGCTCAAGTGGGTTAGAGCCCCCGCCGAAAGGCTAATCTCGACCTCCTTCTGACTGCTATTTCCAACAACATTGGCTTCAGAACTCTTGTTCTTCTTCCTTAGAGCTTTGCATTCAGATGCTCTGTGGCCAGGCTTGCCACAATTGTAGCATTCACCAAGAAACTTGTTCTTGGTAACGCCACCTTTCGGACCCAGCTTTCGCTTGTCCTTCTTGTTCCTCTTGGAGCTTTTACCATGCTCCACAACGTTGGCCTTAGCGACAACAACGATAGGAACTTTCCTATCATTCGTCCTGTTCCCCTCCTCAATCCTGAGTCGCTGGATCAGGTCTTCCAGGTTCATCTCCTTTCGCTTATGCTTAAGGTAGTTCTTGAAGTCCTTCCAACCTGGAGGCAACAAGTGGATCACGGATCCCACTTGGAAGGCTTCACTTGGAACCATGCCCTCGTCACGGATCTCTTCAAAGATTAATTGCAAATCTTCTATTTGACTTAGCACGGTCTTTGAATCAACCATTTTGAAGTCGAGGAATCGGCCAACCACAAATTTCTTTGAGCCGGCATCCTCACTTCGTTATTTATGATCCAAAGCTTCCAACAACGCTTTCGATGTGCTTATCTTTCGATATACATCATATAGCGTGTCACACAATCCGTTCAAGATGTAGTTTCGGCAAAGGAAGTCTGAATCCTTCCAATAGCCAACTGTCATCACGGATTGTGCATCTTGTTCCTTCAACTCAGGAACACTATCGGACAAAAACCTTACCAAGCCGAGAGTTGCTAGGTAAAACAACATCTTTTGTTGCCACCTCTTGAAGTTCGAACCAACACCGGTGAACTTCTCCGGCTTCTCAGCCGATCCACTCGGTACCGAAGGTACCCGAGTCATGGGAATATATCCCTCGGTGCTCCCACCATTTGTGAACCAACGTTCACTGGTGTAGCTTGGGAATAGCAACATTGTTGCAGTTTCCTCCATTGTTGTCCGCAACAACATTATCCTCCCCATCAATTGGCAGTACAGGATGCTCCATTTTCTTCAAAGAAATTCGGAGAAGACCACCAACGGGAAAACGAAGATATAAGGTTTTAAGACTGTTGGATATCCGTTGGTGAAAACAAATAATAATCCAATAAAAACAAGATTATTATTTTCCTGGAAAAGAAGGGAAGGAAAGATGGAGAATTTGGCTAGTGTTTGGTGTTGGGTTTTTTGCATGAGTCAAGCGATCACTCTTTCCTTAAAACCTTATTTGCTACCTCCAAAAAGTGTTAGGAGCGTTGTGGCCTAGGCTTCCCAGGATAAAACTTGCTATGATTCAATGTTTGAGCACTCAAACAAGGAATCCGGCGAACAAAGCAAGATTATGAACACAGTAGGCTTAAGAAAGGAGTAGAAACAGAGAATTTTGAGGCAAAAAGATACTTTCTTGTTGTGTGTAAAATTCTACTGTCCAACTCTTTCTTATATAGGGGTTGAGGAGTTGAATAGTTTTTAATTTAGGCATTTAAGGGCACCCCTACAACTCCTGTAACAGCAACCATTAACATCGATTTTAATTCAAAATTTAAAATTGGAATTAATTCAAAGAATTAATCCCGTAACAGGAGCTTCAGTTCGGCCATGGCAAGGCCGAACTTTGAACTTTCGGCCCAAGGTGAAACTATTTCACCACCAAAGAAACAATATTAATTTGTTTTTAAACAATGTTGGTTCGACCATGATCGGCCCAAGGTGAAACTATTTCACCACCAAAGAAACAATATTAATTTGTTTTTAAACAATGTTGGTTCGGTCATGGTGATTTTAACAATATTGTCACAGCTAATTTTATTTCGTGTGGCTGAATTGGAATCAATCTCATTTTAAGATTTAATTTGCACCCCTCCCTGTGCACGAAAGAGAACCTCTATGCTATACAATTGAATAAATCTAAAAAGAGCTCTTGTATAGATAGTGGGGCAAATCCTCTTCCCAAACCAATGTGGGACAAAAGCTCACTTTTTCCCTTCATTTTCCAACTCAAATGGGTCTACTTTGAGAATCAATATCTCATTCACCCATTATCCGTTTTGAGCGTACAATATATCAATCTCTTCGTCTCACTACGAAGAATCCGAATCCACTTTGACCCGACCCAAGTCGGAAGTCGACCCCACTGATAATTGTACCACAAAATAGTCGCCTAACATGCCATTTTATGCCATTTTAAGTTATTTTTTCCAACAGTGGTGAATCGTTTAGGCTTTGCTCAGGAATGGACAGACATTATTTTAATATGTGTAACCACGGTCCGTTATAGAGTTGGGGTCAATGGTGATCTTTCTGATTTTATTATCCCAACTTGTGGTTTGAGGCAAGGTAATCCCTTGTCACCGTATTTGTTCATACTGTGTGCTGAAGGTCTTTCACATCTTATCTCTAAATCAGTGCAGAATGACTCTATTTCTCCATGTGTTGTAGCAAGAGGGGCCCCTGGCGTGTCACATTTATTTTTCGCCGACAATAGTCCTCTCTTTTTCAAAGCTACCATTTAGGAAGCTAATGAAATAAAGAGTTGCCTATCTTGCTATGAATGTATGTCAGGTCAAGTTGTAAATTATGGGAAGTCTTGCATAATTTATAGCAGGAACACAATTGAGGCTAGGCAAAATGAAGTGGCCCCCATTTTTAATGTGGAGCAAGTGAGTAATATTGACAAGTATCTTGGGCTTCCTTTGGGAATTGGGCACAATAAAAAGGAAGTATTTTCCTTTATTGGAACAAAGTTGATTCAACGTGTTGGAGGGTGGCATAAAAAGATCTTGTCAAGGACAGAAAAAGAGGTACTTCTTAAGAGTATTGCACAAGCACTACCAATGTATACAATGAGCATCTATTTCTTATCGGTTACATTCTGTGATTGTTTAGAGAAAATAATGAATAAGTATTGGTAGGAATCTGGCAATAATCGTGGAGGGGGCATAAGGTGGATGTCATGGAGTCGTATGTGTGAGAGGAAGGTGGATGGCGGGTTGAGATTTAAAAAGTTTAGCAGATTCAATATTGCACTTCTGGCCAAACAAGGCTGGCGTCTTTTGAAAAATCCTAACTCTTTGGTGGCACATTTGTATAAGGCTCGTTACTATCCAAATACTGACTTTATGAATGCTAAACTGGGTGTGAATCCCAGTTATTGCTGGCGATCAATTCTTGCTGGTCAGGACATTCTACGTCGCGGTTGTATTGTAGGATTGGTAATGGAACTTCTACGAAGTTATGGAACCTTGGTTGCCAAATGATGAAAATCCTTATATTAGCACTGATCTGCATTCCCAGATCGGTGATATGTTGGTTAGTGATTTAATTCACAATGATACTCATGAATGGAATGTTGATTTACTGTCCATATTATTTGATAGCCGTGATGTGGAACTCATTCAGAAAATGCATGTTGCTTATCATTATGAGGATGAATGGTGTTGGAGGGGAGACTCACGTGGTGTTTATTATGTGCGACAGGGATATCGCCTCTTATCTGGAGAGTCGCATGGTGTTAATAACTCTAGAGCTTGGCATGCAATCTGGAAAATAAAAATTCCCCCAAACGTGCAGAATTTTCTTTAGCGATGTCTGCAGGGAGCGCTACCCACGTTACTTGCTCTAGCTGGAAGAAGAGTTGAGGTAGATACATCTTGCCCTCTTTGTCAGCAACACCCTGAGTCCATTAAGCATATTTTTTTGCGATTGTTTGCATGTATCCCACCTCTGGCAGAACGTACCAAATTGCTCTTTGCCTTATGCGACTGAAGATTCCGGTGCTTGGTTGTCTAACCATCTGTTGGCAGATGATGGTTTGTCTGTTATTTCTTGTGTGGCAAGGCTGTGGTGCATACGGTGTGCTCGTAATTCTCTGATATGGAAGCAAAAGACTTGGCAACCACAGGCTATCTCTCTGGAAGTGGCAAGGACTATTCATGAATGACGAGAATTCCGAGAGGCTACTGCTTCAAGCATTGTTCCTTTGCCTGGTAACGTAGAGTCTCCTATCTCTATTCCATGTGATTGTGTTGCGGTGTTTGTGGACGCCGTTGTCTTTCCTGATACTCAACAAGCGAGCTTTGGTGTTGTTATCCAGGATAGTACGGGAAGCTACATGGCAGCGAAGAATGGTCCTCTACGATGTCTCAATGACGCACATTTGGCGGAGGCTCTTGCTTTTAAGGAAGCACTGTCGTGGGTTATGGATCTGAGGCTTTCATAAAGTGAATATTTATACAGACTCTCAGCTGGTCTGTAATTTGCTCAACCATTCTTCAACGGATTTATCTTATGCGAGTTGTGTTATTAAGGATTATCGTAATCTCAAACGACACTTTGATTCAGTGTCTATTCTCTATATCCAGAGATCAGAGAACAAGCTAGCTCATGCTATGGCTAGGGCAGCCCGTTCTAATAGTGGCTCTATTTGTTGGTTGGATTCTATTTCTTCTTGTATTGCTTCAATGATTTAATAAAATTGCCGAGTTTTTCCTTTAAAAAAAAAAATCAACATACATAACAAATTTAATATAATTTACATGTAATTTTTTAACAATATTTTTAAACTAAGAAAGATTACCAATCATTCTTTATTATTTACGACAAACATGTAACATAATTCAAGCCAAATCGATGTTTTTGAATTGAGTTAAACAATTGACGAGAAGTACATTAATGTTTCGAAATTTGATACTAAATTATCAATTTTATTGTTTATTTTTACTGAACTTATCTTTAAAAAAAAAAAAAAATTTAAAGCCGTTTTTGATAAATAGTTAGCCTATCAAATTTTGACTTATTTTATCATTATTAATTGTTTGGTTAATTAGTTTTTTGTAACTCCAAAATGTTAAAATTCAAAAAACTGTTCAAAGTAACTTTTTCAATTAATTTTTTGAGAAAAAAAAAATATCAAACATCTATTAGCTAACAGCTAATTTACCAAACACTTTTATACAATTCGCTAATGTTATCAACTAGTTATACCTTCTGATTAATCCAATTAACTAACAGTCATTTACCAAACAAGGCATAAAATTTCTTTTTGCACCCATAAATCTTAAATCGTATGAAAAGGGGAAGTTGGTGATTAGCAGGTCGTTCGTTATCACCCCAAAACACTTTCAACAATTTTGAAACCAATTTTCAACCCTTCATACCCTGAACTGGAATTTTCCAAACTTTTTGAAAGGCATATTTTTTTTTTTTTTTTATGTATTTTGACCATTTCACCATCTGTTGTAAAGTTGACATGATACTTGGAAATTTTATCAAGTAATAATCCTTCTTAATTGGCAGGTATTGGGAGGAGGAATTATTGAATAAGTGGTATCAGAACGGTGCAATTAAGACCGACATGTGTAGCAATCGGTCGTTAAATGCTAAGAGGGAAAATTATTGAGCTGAGGCCGGTGAAAGACCAAGTACAACAATATACCAGTCTTAAAATAAGAAGAAAAAAAAGGGGAATGGAAAGAATGAAGTAGAGAAGATTCAAAGTGTAAGAGACACAGAGCCAGATGGATGGAAGGAAAGGCAAGAGGTGACGGTGATGGCGATGGCGTTAAAAAGAGATTTTTGAAACGGGGAAAAAGTCGAATTTATAGGAGACAGCATGAATCAACAAAGTAAAAAAGTTGTGGCCTGTGATTAATGATTTGTTTAATTATCACACCGTTAAACTTCCCTCTTAATCATTTTCCTATCCATATAGTGTCAAACCACTCAGGAAATTAAAATAAAGGCAATAAAGCAATCAGTCAAATTAATATACGTAGTTTTACTGCTGCTTATGTGCAGTAGGATGCTTTTTGTTTCTAAAGAAAGACATAACTTTGAATTAAGTTTTAAGAGTTAATACCATTAGCGGTCTTCCATGACAATGCAACGTTTAGTCTTAAACTTTTAAATAAATTTAATCATCAATGGTCTTTCCATTAGTTTAAGTAAGGGCAAAGTTAAATAATTAATGATGATTAAAAATTTAAAAGTTTGAAGAACTATGAGTGGTCGATTTGAAAGTTGAAAGACCATGAGTAGTTAAATTTAAAAGTTGAAGAACTACGGATAATTTAATTGAAAGTTTAAAACTAAACGTGGAAGCGTCACTATATATACTCGGAGAACCCCAACTAATATTAATTCTAAGTTTTAATGTGAAATAGTTAAAATATATATATATATATATATATATATATATATATATATATATATATATATATATATACTTTCTTTATTTGTATCTATATAAGGTGAAAAGGCATTTTAAAATTTTACTCTTTGTTTGGTTTTTGGATCTTTGGTAGAAATGATGCCCTAAAATAAATGAATTGTTATACATATATTAATGGTGGCCATTATTTTGTAACGTTTGTAACAGACATATTAATGTCTCATTATGTATGCCATTATTACTCTATATTATATACGTGTTAAAAGAATATACAGAATAGACCAGGAAGAAAGGAGGATATATATCTCTATATTTCTCATTCATCATAGTACAATGATATATATACAAGATACCATAAAGACATACAATAATGAATGATAATTACATCCGTTACATCCGTTACAAACGTTACAAAACTATTATTAATGTCCACCATAAATCTATTTATAACACTCCCCCTTAGACATTATTTGTCCATGACCTTGCCTCATTAAAAACTTGCTAGGAAAACCCTGTGGAAAAAACCTAAACAAGAAAAGAGTACAAGGTATATCGATAGTATATTTAAATACATTCATGCCTCATTAAAAACTTCACTAGGAAAACCACGTGGGGAAAACCTAGTTGAAGAAAAGAGTACATAATATATGTAAAACATATATTCTATTGGTCGCCTCATTAAAAACCTTAACTTAAGAAAACCCTGTGGGAAAAACTTAGTTAAGGGAAAAAGAGTACACCATAAGCCTTCAGGGCATAATCTGCATAATCTTCAGGATTTTGGAGTTTGTTCATTTATTAACCAATTACTTTGCAACTTTTTCCCATTGTCATTACTATATCATACCCATGCCTCGTTAAAAACCACACTAGAAAACTCATTGGGAAAAACGTAACCTAGTGAGGAAAAGAGTACATGGTATGTCTATGCTGCAAAAAGTATAACTATTAGTCCTTTTAAGACCCAATCTACATGATTGACCAATCTACAGGATTGACTCGAGTGAATGTACTTCCTGTCTCCCCCTGAAGATAACAATCTTCAAATTCTAAATTGCCTGTAAATCATTGTTTCTAAAGGCTGTAGAGAATGTGATATGGTACAATCTTCAGGATTGTCATTAGAATTTATCATATTTTCTCATGATCATCTGGACCAATAAAATTATTTATAGTTTATATTTTGTTGCTCCCCCTAAATATAATAATTTTTCTTTACCTACACATATCAATCTTATGGATATTTTGTAGGTATACATTTACTAACTTGTCACTGGAGCAAACCTTCTGAACAAATATTTTATCACTCTTCTGGAGTTCATGTGGATCAAGGTATTTTATATCATGAAAAACTATATACATTTTTATCTGTAACAAGTATGATGACTTCATGCCAAAAAGCATCAATACGAGTATTTTTACCTTGATTTGCTATTCGTTACGTTATCTTATCTCATAACTTAACATCATCAAATTCTTTCTATATTTCATTGATATTTACACCATAAATATTGACTGAGATAATAAATAAGTCCATTATCAACTCTTTATTGAGCACATAATGGTACATATTATTCCTTCTATATGAGGATAATAACCCCATTCGCAACTCTCTAAAAAGTAAATAATGGCACTTAAATAAATCATCATTTCGGGAATTATAAATCCATTAGGGATTTTTCAAGATATTGTTTCCTCTTGAAAATATCCTAAAGATATCCTAAATATATCTTTATATTTAGGATATTTTCAAGAGGAAACAATATCTTGAAAAATCCCTAATGGATTTATAATTCCCGAAATGATGATTTATTTAAGTGCCATTATTTACTTTTTAGAGAGTTGCGAATGGGGTTATTATCCTCATATAGAAGGAATAATATGTACCATTATGTGCTCAATAAAGAGTTGATAATGGACTTATTTATTATCTCAATCAATATTTATGGTGTAAATATCAATGAAATATAGAAAGAATTTGATGATGTTAAGTTATGAGATAAGATAACGTAACGAATAGCAAATCAAGGTAAAAATACTCGTATTGATGCTTTTTGGCATGAAGTCATCATACTTGTTACAGATAAAAATGTATATAGTTTTTCATGATATAAAATACCTTGATCCACATGAACTCCAGAAGAGTGATAAAATATTTGTTCAGAAGGTTTGCTCCAGTGACAAGTTAGCAAATGTATACCTATAAAATATCCATAAGATTGATATGTGTAGGTAAAGAAAAATTATTATATTTAGGGGGAGCAACAAAATATAAACTATAAATAATTTTATTGGTCCAGATGATCATGAAAAAATATGATAAATTCTAATGACAATCTTGAAGATTGTACCATATCCCTTCTCTACACCCTTTAAAAACAATGATTTTACAGGCAATATAGAATTTGAAGATTGTTATCTTCAGGGGGAGACAGGAAGTACATTCACTCGAGTCAATCTTGTAGATTGGGTCTTAAAAAGACTAATAGTTATACTCTTTGCAGCATATACATACTATGTGGTTTTTAACGAGGTATGAGTATGATATATTAATGGGAGAGTTGTATATAAATACTTAAATAAACAAACCCCAAATATCCTGAAGATTATGCCTTGAAGGCTTATGGTTGTGCTCTTTTTCCCCTTAACTAAGTTTTTCCCACGAGGTTTTCTTAAGTTAAGGTTTTTAACGAGGCAATCAGAACAATATATGAGTTTACAAATATCATGTACTCTTTTCTTCAACTAGGTTTTTCCCACGTGATTTCCTAGTGAAGTTTTTAACGAGGCATGAAGCTAAGGTATTCAAATGTATAATATCCATATACCTTGTACTCTTTTCTTGTCTAGGTTTTTCCCACTGGGTTTTTCTAGCAAGTTTGTAATGAGGCAAGGTCATTGATAAATAATGTCCAAGGGGGAGTGTTATAAATATATTATTATGGTGGACATTATGGGCATTCAATACATAACTGTTATAACGGTCATCATTAGTATCGTCATTATTATTTGTAGATTATATATGCTTGTTGTAACATTGTATTGAATCGGCTTGTGCAATGGAATGACTCTCCTTGTCTCTTGTTCTACTCCTCTTTGTCTTGTACATTTGCGTTTATCTATATTGATCCAATCCTATAATTCACCGATTAGGAGCTAATAGCCAACGGGCACAAACAACACAACAACATTACAACATGAATCAACAAGATGAAGCTATGAGAATTTTCCACGTTAGGAGGATACCAATTGCAATACATTGATTGCTTATCTGAATTTTTACGACCTTGAGGTATGTAAACCCTCGTTTCAATATTATAAAAAAAAAAAAAAAAAAAAAATTGAATCACCAACCATTAAGTAGAGATAAATAAAATTTAATTTCAAAATAATCCCTTACCCATTTTGTATCTCTATTCAAGTTCAATTTATCTAGATATGAGATAGAGTGGTTGGTTGCCTTCGTCACCAAAGTTCAAATATGAACCCGGCCTTTTCTCAAGAAACCATTGTTCTCTTGTTTGTTTTTATAGACAATCATAACCATTTCTAATCGGAGACAATAGCAATTTAAAAAAAAATAATAATAAATAATAAATGGTACGCTTGAGATATACATAATATCAACATGCCACGTATTTGTCACATTAATGATAACATGTTGAATATGTAGATCAGAATTTGAATTCAGTTGCACTATTTATTCTACTTACAATGATACTTAGCTTTGATTAAAAAGTATTTATTAAAGAACATTACTTCTACTATGAATAAATTATTATTTTAGAATTTGAAAAGAGAGGTGAGGAAAACATTTGAATTATTACCCATCACTCAATCATGTTTCCATTGATTTATTAATTCACTAAGGTTTTGGCAGATTTGATTGGTTGAAATAATAATTTGTTGTATTAATAGTTTAGCAGTGTGTAGAAGACAGCATTGAATGCAAAGAAACAGTAGAGTGAAGAAGCCACGTCCACATCTGTTGTACACATCGCATATTTTGCACACACAGACAACACACTCCTGCCAAGCTTTGGCTGGAAATGGTTTGTGGTGACCAGCACTATACTGTACTGCCCAACTCCCCATGTGAACAACATCCTTCCTTTCTCTATTCTTATCACCCATCCTTATCCCTTACCATTTACATATTTTTACCATGCTATAATCTTCCTATACATACAATTACGTCATTTTTCTAGCGTCTCAATCTCACTCACACTCATACTTTTTTGCATCATGCATGTATAATCATGCATGCTATGTTTGGTTGTACCGAATATGTATTACCCAATATAACTTATATAGCATATATGCTCCTATCTGGTATAAAAATATACTTGTTTCCATGGGTACAATAGAAATTCTCAGAATTAAGTTTTATATTTTATACATAGTTAAGAGTATATATTATATAAAATTTTGAAAAAAGGTTCAAATTATTCACTGAACTACACACAAAAGTGTAATTAGACTATCCAACTCAAAAAAAAAAAAAAAAAAAGTTCAATTAGATCCTTGAACTGTCGAAAATTATGCAATTTGACTAAATTTGACATGTTCCTCACGTCATCGCTAACATGACAGTCATTCTAGAAAATCCCATAAAAATAATAATTTTTTTAAAAGTTATAAATAATAATTTTTTAAATTTATACTTGAGGAACATGTCAAATTTGTTCAAATTGTTTGAGTTAATTCCAGCATTAGTCCTCCGACTATCATGATTTTTCACAATTGATCCTCGACTTTCAAATTGGACCAATTTAGACACTTGACTATCAAAATGTTTTAACCCTCATTTTAACATCTACTTAACCAGCCTTGAACGGAAGGACCAATATTGGAAATATTTTGATAGTCCGGAAGAGATGCTGCAAAAGATGCAAACCAACCCCTTCGTTTGTCGTGGGTCGCGCCTCACCGCAGACAAAGTGTCTAAGTTGTCCAAATTGAAAGTCGAGAACTAATTGTGAAAAATCACGATAGTTGGAGTACTAATGTTAGAATTTACTCAATTATATAATTTTAAACAGTTCAAAGATCTAATTACACTTTTTTTTTAAGTAGATGACTCAATTACACTTTTACTGTAGTTTGGTGGCCTAAATTTTAATTTTTTTTTTCCTAATTTGTGTAACAAAGTATGGAGCATGTGATAGAACTTTATTACTCAAATTAACATCTTATAAATCTCCAACATGTTGTATTGTAAGACATTGATATTATGTTTGGTTTTACATCTCCCCAAAATCTTACATTATCATGGATGGGCTATATATTAGACATGTGACGAAAATAATCAAAAATAAATCATAAGCTATTAAATAAAATGTATCAGACATAGTGTGAATACATGAACTTGAAATGGTGTCATAATAAATTATAAAAGCATCATGAAAGTTTGTAGATAAATTAAGGCATATACAAAATGTCAAAAAAGTTACCAACTGCAATAACTTTGTTGTTTCCAAGATTGAATCTCTAATTACAATGGCTCTCACGTTCTGGCCCGATAAAACATATGAAAAGATGTAAATATGATAACTTAGTGACCATTGCCTATTGTTACTTTAAAGGCTCTAATAATTATTCTCAAATTTCACATAGTAATTAACTGAGTTGCTTATGCCGACAAAACTACAGTATAACTTTAAAATATATAACTGAATGCTGCTGAGCCCCACTTTGTCTCTGTGCTCTACTCCTCCTTTACTTCACTTGTGAGCAGAGCAGTGTTCATCCACATTCCAACTGGCATTCATTCTCACTCCACCGCGCGCCACCCTGGTCACCACCGCCGCCGCTTACTAAATTAGATGGAACCGCAAGCTTTCTTCTTCAATTCTCAACTCCGTTTTTCAGTTCCACTGTTTTTCTCAGGTTTAATTTGCTCCACCGTACCCATTCCCTTACTTTTTTGTCTTTTTTTTTTTTTTTTTTTTTTTTTTTCTGTTTGAATTAATTGTTTCTTCTGTTTTAATTTGGATGTGTTATGATGATTATAGTACGAATTGAAAAGTAAAATTGGGTGAAATTATTGTGGTAGTGATGTTTTGGCCGGTGGTGGTGACTAGCATTGGCATCAATTACGGGCAGATTGCGAACAACCTGCCGTCGCCGGAAAATGTGGTTCCGCTGGTGAAGTCCATGGGCGTAACGAGGCTGAAGCTTTACGACGCGGATTCAAAGGTGCTGAAAGCCTTCGCCAACACGAACGTGGAGTTCATTGTGAGTGTTACCAACAACGAGCTGTGTAAAGTGAAGGATCCTGAGAAAGCGGAGGCGTGGGTGAGGCAGAACGTGGCGGCGTATTTACCGGCGACCAAAATCACCTGCATCGCCGTCGGGAACGAGGTCCTGAGCTCCAAGGACGCCTCTCTCGCCAACTACCTCCTCCCGGCTATGTACAGCGTTCACGCCGCTCTGGTGAAGCTAAACCTGGAGGGGGAGATCGACGTGACGACGGCGCACTCCCTGGCGGTGCTGGAGTCGTCGTATCCGCCGTCCTCCGGGGCTTTCAAGCGAGATCTGGTGGCCTGCGTTTGCGAGATCCTCAAGTTCCATGTCAAAACCGGATCCCCTTTTCTCATCAATGCGTATCCGTATTTCGCCTACAAGGCGCATCCCAACCATGTGGAGCTGGATTTCGTGCTGTTCCAGCAGAATCCGGGGATAAATGACCCTGTCTCCGGCCTTCACTACGACAACATGCTGTTCGCTCAAATCGACGCCGTTCATTGGGCGTTGTCTTCGCTAGGGTATAAGAACGTGTGCGTGCAGATCTCGGAGTCGGGTTGGCCGTCCAAGGGGGACGCCGACGAGCCGGGAGCCACGTTGGAGAACGCTAGGAAGTACAACTGCAACCTCCTGAAGCTCATTGCCCAGAAGAAAGGAACTCCATTGAAGCCCACCAACAATTTGAACATTTTCGTCTTTGCGCTGTTCAATGAGAACATGAAGCCCGGGCCCACCTCGGAGCGCAACTACGGCCTCTTCAACCCCGACGGAACGCCGGCATATCCACTTGGCTTTTCCGTCACCACCAACACTAACTCCAATTCAACCATTTCTGGACCCCCCTCCGGCTTTCCGCCGTCGATATCATCTCCCCCGGGGACTCCCTCCGACGGTTATCTGTCCATTACGTCCGATGCGGTGAGTATCCTTTTCAGTTGTAATTCTGACTGTTATTTTTTTTATTATTATTATTTTTTTTTCTATTCCCCTTAGGCCCTTACTATTAATATTATGGGAAAATTACACTTTTGTTCTAGGGTAATTATAAAAAAATTTCATAAGTGTTAATCGTGCTATTTTTTACTTTTAAACTATCACTAGTGTTGCACTTTTCGTCCTTAAACTATACTAAGGTTGCAAATTTCGTCCCTAATGTTTTGTTAGTAAAAGGACAAAAAATACAACGTTAATGATAGCTTAAAAATAAAAAGTGAATGCAATCAATAATTATAAACGAATTTTACAAATACCCTATAATTTAATAACCAAAATTGCAATAATAATGATTATTATAAATACTCCGTATATGGTTGTAGATAGATCTTGCAGTTTTGCCTCTGACAATTGTAGGCTAGTCTAGCTGTATAAATATTTGACAATCCAATTTTGATTTTATATTATGTATAACACGTTGATATTTCAATGTTGTCAGGTGAGAGCTCCTCATTTATGCAGCAAATGGCTGGGTTTCATAATGTTGGGCTTCCTACTACTACTCAACAAATTTAAGTAGAAATTGTTGTGTTGGAGAAATGTTGTGATAGAACCTAGCTACAATAATTCTGTTACTCTGGCTTGTACTGTGCTCTGTGCATCCTCGACTCATACATCCTTGGAATCAGTCAGATCCTGGGGTTTTATGAACATATTCTTTTGTTATTGCTTCTGTTTTGGATTGATTCAGGGAGTAAGTACTGTACCTACCATTTATAAGCTTATTGATTGTAGGCTATTCTTTATGAAAAATATTATGTAGGTGTTTGGTAAATAACTGTTAGCTGATTGGATTAGTGAATTTGACTAGTTGATAGCATTAGCTTATTGTAGAAAAGTGTTTGGTAAATTAGTTGTTAGTTGATTACATGCAAAATGATTCTCTCAAAAAGTTACTTTGAATTTTGAAGCAATAAGCCTTAACAAAAAGTTAATTAATTAAATATTAATTGATTGTTTCATAACTATGTTACCAAACATGACATGTGTGTACGATATTCTAACATTAACTTTTACTCTTATACACAAAATTGTGTTCACTATATTACGAGTAAAATTTAAAAGTCCATATAATAGAACTCATTATTTATGAGTACAGATATTTATGCTGGCAGCAACTATTATTAGTCAATTCCACGTAATCACACATGAGAACGCAAGTCGCGACATTCAAAAGACGCCACACAAATTTCCTCATTTTTAGCTGGCACAGGCTCCCACTCTTGAAAACTGGTGTCCTTCTCAGTTCTCACCTGTTTTCAACTGGACCTTCTACATGAATTATATGTATCCAGTCGATAACACCTACCTCGATTAACGATACTATACTATATGAAGTGATACTTAGAGCATCCTTATCAATGGGGGAGATTAGTGGGAAGAATGTAAGAGTAATTAGGAAAGAGAATATATGGTAGGAAAAAAAAAATCAAAACTGATTTTTTTAAAATATATATATATATAAAATAAACATGTCAGAGTAATTCATTTTCTCTATTGATTCTTCCTCTTCTATCATTAATTTTTTTTCTTGGACAAAGTAATATCTCAACCTTTGCAGATGCTCCCCACCCCTTCCCTCTCTTGATTCTCTCTCTGCCATCATGACATTTTAGCCTCAAAAGTAGTGAATTCTCCCTCATTTCTCTTCTGAGGTAAATGCTCTTAGAGCATCCTTATCAGTTGGGGTTATTAGGGGGAGAATGTAAGAGTGAGTAGGAAAGAGAATAATGTGGGAGTGGAGGGAAAAAAAAATCAAAACTGATTTTATAAAAAAAAATATAAAAAAAATAAGCATGTCATTTCTCTATTGGTTCTTTATCCTTCATCATTAATTATTTTTCTTGGGCAGAATAATATCCCAACATTTGCAGATGCTCCCCACCCCTTCTCTCTCTTGATTCTCTCTCTGCCAGCATGGCATTTTGGCCTCAAAAGTAGTGAATTCTTCCCTATTTCTCCTCTGATGTAGATGCTCTTAGATTGTATTTTCTTCTCTTAAATACTACCTATTAAACTAGTAAACTAAACTCGTACAGCAATTAGATGCATCTTCTGTTAACACAAGTAATGCAATACTAGCTTATTATGAACATATGTTCCATCTTGCAAACAGAATCTACATTTAACAGGAATGCATTCTTCTATTCCCATGTATGAAAATAATGATGGCTATCTCATGATTATACCCCACAGATCCTACAAAGGAGATGAAGTTGATGGCCACTTCTCAAAAGCATACAACAATAATTGGAAAAAGAACATATTATGCTGTAACAAAATGCCGATTAACCTTCTCTCAAGAACAAATGCTTGTCATGTGAGAATATGTATTCTAAACATAGGAAAGACAAGGCTACTCTACATGAAATGGCCTTCAAAAAACAGTACCCATTGGAAATCCTTAGCTTCCAATGAAAGTAACACTTGGGATTCTATATCTCTTTGGTGCCCTGCTGATATTCGTCACCTGAAAACTGTTCATGGTGCAATCTTCCATCTGCCGCCACCATGTCAACTATGACTTGTAAATGTAACCCCCTCTTCTACAGGAATTGGCCATTCTGGAGCTCAATTGAAGCATAAGAATTTTATGACAAACAAAGTAAATTCCTCTTCAAGCTATATGACTTTGGGAAGGCCCTTCGGACATTCCTTGAGCTTTAACTCTCCGGTAGAACAGCACATAGGCAGCAGAAGTCCTTACCTCAGATTCACCAACAGGTGATACGTGGGAATCATCAAAATGATACCATTTGTTTTCATCAACTAACTGCAACAACATTTAAATAGAATGCTCTGAGTTTTATACATGAAAACCTAGGAATAACCAAAGTAATCCCTGCTGCCTAGGCACTAAATGAATGATGACTTTTTTGAGTCAAGCATATTACTTGTAAATAAATACCTTGCAATAGGCAGTGTAATGCCCACCACCTAGTCCACCATAATGGTTGCTGATGGCATACAGCTCGTAAATATGTGAACTTGAAGATGCATCCTTACTTTTCACATATTTGCTTAAATCAAGATTGTGAATGGGAAAATTAACAAAAGTATCAAGCTTGTTTTTCATCCATCGACTATATGAGAAACGTTTCAAGTGAAAAACAAGTATATCTGGCAACCTCCACAAATCCAACTTCTTGGTTGCTTGTCTGTGTTCTTTGCAGTGAGGACAATACCTGCATTGAAATTGTAAGTACTTAAAACGATATTCTAGCAAAACTTACATGCATAAGACCTTTTGATATATGAATTTCTTCTAGCTTACCACATATCATCAGGTCCCAAGGGTTCCTCCTTCAAGAAGGCATCCAAACATGAAAATAATGAAATAGCTTCTGACTTAGTTTTCTTTACAGTCAGTCCACTTTTGTGAACTTCAGGAAGATCCTTCAAATAGCTAGAATCAAATGATTCGTGTTCTTTGTCAGTCCAATCCAGCAGCACCTTCACAATTCCACCAGGTCTAGGTTTTATTTGTGTATCTATCATAATTGGCTGGCAGCTCATACCCCGGTCATCAGTAATGCAAATATGAAATGACAACTCACAGCTGGATGCTTCTTTTGATCCAGTATTGTGTGCAGATCCACCCACAAGTTCCAATTGGGTACCACAAATGTTCATTGGATTTTCTATCATTTCTGAGGCAGTCTCATTTTCCTTACCCCTTGGAGCAGTTTTAGAACTGAAATATTTTCGTCTTAGAGGAGAAAGCATTCTATCAACAGCAAAATTGATATCACTTGGAGCCACTGGGCCTTCCAAGAAAGTAACAAGCGGTGTCAAGAAGAGCTTCCTCTCACCAACCTTTGAATTGTCCATACATCTGGAGGAAGTATAAAGTAAGGCCTTGTCAAACAAGAGAGTAAAAAATAGAAAAGGAATATTATATCGATGCACTGCAAATTCAGAGGATTTTTAATCAGGGAAAAGTACTTTACAAATTGACAATGAACAGTCACATAGAAGTAACTTGATAATTAGTAAAAATTATGAGTTTTAAATGAATACAGCGGAAACACCACATGAAGAAATTAATAGATGAATCAAATAAGATGTTTCCATCACATTCATCTGCACTTCCAGGAGGCTACTTGTAACTAACCCAATGCAAATGAATCCAAAGATGAATAAACTTTTGTGTTTGTGATCCAATGCCAAATGATAGGTTGAGAAAGAAAGTGAAAGGTGCTAAACCAAACATGTAGTTGTTAACCAAACTATAAAGTTTTGAATGAAGGCAATGAAAATTATGTGACTTTTGAATGTAACAGCAGAAGCAATTAGTAGATATTAAATTTGAAGTGCTTACCTTTCAAGGTATCGATGACAAATCTCCAGTTTTGTTAACTTTGCTGCCCTCTTTGGGAGTCTATACGCAACAATATGTTCATCATCTTTCATTGAAGACAAGGATTCTGAAGGGTTGTCAAAGTACCGAAAAATCCGATGATCATAGGCCTTCAAGAAAAAGAGATGTGAGAAATATAGGCAGCATTCAATTATAGAAATAGATAAAACATATACAAATGTTGCAGAATGTGTTGTAAAAACAATTGAGGTGTACAAATGTTACCTCTGCAAGCAATAAGTATTCATCGCTCCTTAAGCAGCATTCCGTTGCTAAAGCTTGCAATAAGTCTTTACAGTAACCATGTTTTAAAACAGTAACTGTAAATGGCATTGGAAGGCTAGTTCCATCACCATAAAACACAGTCACTGTCATTGACCTGGTGGCAGTTGATGGAAGAGGCAAGGACAAGTACATGAAGGGATCAAATGTTATAGAAATTTTGTTGCAAACCGGGCAAACCAATGTTGACTTATATTGACCCTGAAATATACAAGTTTATATTACAAACAAATATGCCAATAAAATTCTAAAATAATTGATGTGTAGCATACACATGGAAATGCACAAAAACCCACAACCATGCAATGTAATTGCCAAGATATAGTACATATGCATGAGTAGAGCATCCACTCAATGGTTATTCTAGAAATTAGGATTCCGAAAACAATAAATTGCCTCCAACAGCAGGTGTAAAATCATGTACAGTATCTGGTAAAAGCTCAATGTGAACAGGTGTAAAATCAATGTACAGTATATCTGGTAAAAGCTCAATGTGAACAGGTACAGTGAAATTTGTTCCCAGTGAAGTCTGCAAATATAAAAAAACTAGGAAATAAAAACACAGGGAGAAGCTAGTCACCTGGCTAACATCCACTATTACAGAGTTATTTCTAGCTTTATGGTATCTCCAAAACTCATTTGCTACTTCCTCATCAGGGCGACCTTCAGAATCCTTAGTTTCAATATATGGCTTTTGCTTAACCCGATTCAAATCTTCATGCAATCCATCTAGAAGAAAGGCAAGAAGTTCCTAGAGAAGAAAGCAGATTATTTTTTCAATTATCTTATTACTACTTGAATAGAAGAAGTATATTTATCACATGCAACTCTTAGGGCAAATGTAGTTCATTTTTTAGTTTTCTTTCTCCATGGTTTCAGATTTTTATTTATTTTATTTTATTTTATTTTTAAATTAGAAAAGCAAAAAACATGTTTATCTGCATCTATTTTTCATGCCATCTTCCAAATCAGAAATTACAAAGGTATCTTAAATCTAATTGTTTTCTTCATACTGACATACAATATGTTGAAAAATAAAGAGTTAAGTTTATCTATAGGGTTGTGTCTATTTATGAATAGGTGTTAGTTATGGGTAGTTACTTACAGTTATGTGTTTGAATATATATATGTACCATGTTTCTTTGTTAGAAACACAAAATAATACTAATATATTTCACTCTTATATACATTTTCTATTCCTTGATTCTTCATCATTGCTTCCACCTAACTGGCGGGTGGTGATATTCTCCACCCGCCAGGCCATTCCATCTTCCAAATTCAACACAATACTAGTGATAATAATATTGAGTTGTGGGAGCATGTGTGGATATGTTTAATTTGGGTGAAAAAAACATTTCAATTAATTGTTCATAATGCGTGTGAATCCTTGACAAACAACAAAGAATCAACTCTGACCTGTGAATCATGCTGGTTATATCCACTAAACTGGGGAGCAAAGCGACCGAGTTTTCCTTTGAATACACGAGGTGCAACAGGTGTCCGGCCAGAGGACCAAAGTTTCCTCAATAAATCACCAAATGCAAGTGCAAGCTCACCCTTAATAATTACACAAGAAATTATTAATGCACTGGAAATTTTTTAAATTTGTCTTGGTGAAATTTCATTTTAGACAAAAGTAATTCACATACATGCATTCCTAATGGATTATGTCTGTTGATCTCATCAGTGTAGTCTTGCAAGAAGTACTCAACAAGGGGAGGTGTATGAACTAAACACTGAAGAGCACTATTCATAAAGCAAGTATTACCCAAGTTTTGCAACCCTGCTAAACCCCTATCAGCTTTTGTCAGTGGTCTCGGGGTTTTGTCCCCACCATCTGTATCTCCAAATGTGGAGTTTAAAGAGCTAAGCTGATATGCATTGGAGGTATTGCCAGTTGAAGAATCATTAGACACAGTGGAACCAATAGACAAGGTGGGGCCACCAGCAATGGAGACAGATGACTTCAAGGGTTCGAGTGGAACTAATGCCATGCTATTTCCAGTTGAATCAATGCCAACACTGGCAGGTTGATGTTCTTCCCCTTGAACCTCAAGAAGAATCTGGGAAAACATTAATTAATCAGCTACAGATTAGTACTAATACACATTCATACAAACTTAAATGAAGAGGGCAAAAATCAGTCATAAAAACATACACAGCAAAAAACATCTGAAGAATCTAAAATACTTCTCTGAAATAGCCATAACCAGGCTTTATCTAATATTCATGGCATGTATAACCCATACTTCTGAAGTCCTCTATTATTATACAAGTATAAGATCATTTCACTAGGTAATCTATGACCAAACAATTTCCTATAAATGTTCGAGAAAATTTTCTCACAAAAGCATAAAAAGCGCACACAAACATGAAAATAACAATAATACAGACATCTACTTAAATGGTACATGGAGAGTTAGAAACAAAATACTATGGAACATGCTAACAAGATGAGCAGATGCATCCCAATATGTACAAGAAAATAAACACCTATAATATCGTCTGCACTATTCTTCCTATTTTTCAATCTGTTCAAACAGAAACACAGTCTCATGCATGCCCATCACTAATCTGCTGTCATTGGTTAGTCACACCCAGAGTGCATGTGCAATATAGAGAACTAACATGTTGATCCATCTGCAAGTTGGATTCGTCGAGTGTCTGGTCAGAAGCAGCAAGCAAATTTTGCTTCTGTTTATTAAAATAATCCCAGATGCAAACCTGCACAATTTAGTGAAAAGCATAAAGAACATAACATATAATGAACATTTTGTTTTCATATAATGCAAGAGAAGTAGTAGATATTGCTTACACAAACGGACCTTTTCTAGCACAACTCCTTTAAGACCACGAACTCTTTCATGAAGTTCATACAAAGAGGCCTGGTAGACATTATGTTAAAAAAAAAAAAAAAAAAAAAAAACAAAACAAAAAAAAAGCTGCTCCATTATACAACTATCAATAATAGATTACTACTACAAACAACATCACCACAAATATGTGCAATTAACTGAATGAGAAATTCAAAACTTAAACCTCAGGAAAACTAGAAAAACATGAAATTACATGCCATAAACTCCTATTGAGAATGTTTGAGCACACACCCCATTAATGGATAATGACTAAACAAATTATACATTCCTAAGAGAAGGCAAAACACAAAGAGTTCTGAAAGAGCACATGTTCCAGTTCTTTGGCTAAACAGCCTAATAGTAGTATTAAAATCCCGGAATAGACTTGATGCCAGCATGCAAGCAAGAACTAAAGAATTCCAATTCTAAGTTTAAAATAAAAAATAAAAAAATTCTTTTGTACTTTATCACTGTTGACACACTAACACCATAGGGTTGAAAGTTTTTTTTGGGTGGGGGGATCTGGGGTTAGACAGTAAAGACAAATCATACCATTGAAATGCTGATTTTCTAACTAATAAGATACATATATATCAAGGGCCAAAATCACAATAACTTACCTTCTTGCTGAACCTCAATACATTCTGGCTATTATCTCTGGAATCAATTAAATTGAGACATAGTGGGAAGACCTCTATACTAAGCTGCTTGTTATCTCCCAAAGAAATCATCTTCCTAGGAAATGCTGGTCCACCTTTGTACCTAAGGAAGCAGGATTTCAATGTGAAATGGAAAAACCTAACTCATGGAAATTTAGCAATGCCTAAATAAATTACTAGCTATCCACTAGACTAGATGGGCAAAGATTGTTGTCGGATGAATCTAGTTAGAACCAAAAAAATGGAGCTAGTCAAAGAGCTTCAGCAAGAAAAGTTGCTCAGATGAATTCTAAAACTTGTTTCCATGACAGCTACTAAATAAGCTAACTAAAGATATCACCTAGTTAAGAGAAGAAGCACATCAAATATAGAGCTAAAATCACCCTAGATAATCATTACCATTCATAAAGCCTCTCCCACACATCTTTTGGAACTAATACATAATCGCGCCCTTCTTGCAACGTTCTCAGAAGATGTGGATCATCATCCTCACTGTCACTCCCTCTTTCAATAATATCACTATTATCAATTGGGCCAGGTCTATCAACTGTATTTGGCACCAATGAACGCTGTAAATCATTAGAATCGAATGGATAACCACTAAGAGGCTCCCCTATGTATCTTTGCCAAGCCATGAACCACCTGAAAAAACATAGAAAGTTGCATTCATATTTGAATGTTTCTCTGTTTTGATGATATCAAAATTCAAACAAGAGAATGGAGGGAGAATATTCTCAGTTTTATTCCATAGGGGATAGGGGATAGGGGATAGAGGCTGTTCCATTTTTGTTTTAAATAAAAAACCAGAACTCTGCTCTAAAAGCACTGCGGTGAGTTAATAGTGCGAAGACGTTTATCAGTGCCAACACCAAAAAATCTGGCATGAGCTGTACAATATCATTTCAATACAAGTCGAACCAATCCATAGTTCCATACAATGTCCAAAATACAGTTGAAAAACGTAATTAATTTAGACATATTACCGAAGAAATGAAATTAATCTAGAGATTAATGATAATTACCTGCTAGAAATAACATAAAACAAATTTCCTTCTCGCAAACTAGACTCAGCCTTATTCGTGAGCTCCTGTATAATCCGCCCCTCTTCCTCCGAAGAGAAAGGCAATTCAATGGGTCCGTTCTCCATCATCATATACCTCGAATCTGGTATCGTCATGATCGATTATTCAAATTCTACAATAACACCAGCAATATCGCACATCAACAGCTCCAAAATCGCCCGACTAATTCGAATTTCAACAAAATTTTAAACTAAAAGCACAGAATAGTTGCATGTACATGAACGAACCGTAGATCAAGAAACCGGCGATACACGAAAGGAATACAGCGTTGATGTATATGCGTATGTCAAGTTAAATATATGTATGAATTACGGTCAAGATGAGATAATAATGAGGGGGGATTTGGTACAACCCTAGATTACAGTAAAAACAGTTTTCAATTTGATTAGATTTTGAATCTGAAGGAGAAAATGCTAGAAAAGTCTTTGAAACTTGAAACTGTTTTGGGGGATCTGTCCTTTTTCAGCTTCCACTAACCACCATTCACCAACCCTTTTTATACCACTAGTAGCGTCACATGGTAATGCATAGTGAGCTATTGCGTGAGTGGCAAACCGTAAATGCACGGCATATATGCGTCATAATCAGGGGTGGAGCCACCCCACACTCATTTTTAGTAAATATATAGGTATATATTATTATAACTAGTATTTGCCCCGTGCGATGCACGGAATAGATTTGTTGTAATATATTAAGAATATTTGAATCGATATATAATTATTTAAATTAGAACATCAAATATTATATAGTGCAATTGAAGATACGGTTTGGATCATTTATGTGTTTTGATGTTATCATTGTTTGAATTTAAACAAATAATTGCTCAAATTAATAGCTAATGAATAGATGTACGCATGCGGTGCTGTAATTTTGGAGATTTTATTTATCATTGTTTAGTATTTTTTTAATAAATTAGGCAAATGTGTTTGTTCTCTAGCAACTCAGTTATATGAATGAATTGTTATCTTAATTCATTTGTATGGAAGATATATTTTGTTTGTCTAAATATATAGCAATTTTTTCATTTAAAAAAACATAATATCAACGATTTTATTTACACATTATTGAAACCTTTTTTGTACACGACATTGGTAGTTTCCCTTTCAATTTTAATTAAAATGCAATGATCTAACATTTTTTTTTCATATTAGTCAATTATGGATAATATTTTATTTGCAGTCAACTATTAATATTCATTTCCTTTTATATTTTCAGTCAATTAGTAATATCATTATTTATTTTCAGTTAATTATTTCCTTTTTATTTTCAGTCAATTAGTCATTAGTCAATTAAAATATCAGATGCGGTGATATTTTTACCCAATTTTTATTTCATTTTTAATTGATCATTTAAAATATTATTATTGAAATATATCTGTTTCATTTTTAATTTTCATTGCATTTTTTATTTACCTTTACCATTGTTTAAAATATGCATTTACTATTGATGATGTAGAATATTATTATTGAAATATTTCCTTTTCAATTTTAATTTACCTTTACTTGATGATGTAGAATATTATTATTTATTGAAATATTTCCATTCTATTGTTTAAAGTTGTGAAAGATTTATGACATAATTGTGATTTGATGTATTATACTTTAATTTGTAATATTATTGTGAAAAATTAAAATGTAATTATCTGACCATTTTCTTTTATATTTTAGTCAAGTATCGATCATTTTTCAGACAATTATTAATACTTACTTCATTTTTCAATTAACCATATTATTGTGAAATATTTTTGTTCCTTTTTTTCATCTTACCTTTACTGTTGTTTGTGCAGAAAATTAAGTACATAAGATTTTGTTTAGGAGGATTTTATTTTTAATAATAGTATAGATTTAGAATCATTTTATATTTTCCTATTTAACTGGTTATTTCTTTTTTATTTTTGTATTTTAATGCTAACTTTTAGGGGGTGTTTGGTTCAGGTTATATAACATAACCAAGGGAATGTGACATTCCAAAGCTCACATTCCTGTGTTTGGTTCATATTATCTCAGGGAATCTAACATTCCCCAGGAATGTCACATTCCCTCCACATAGGATTTTGAAGGGAATGTGATTCCCTTCAATTTCTAAGGTTATGTAAGATAACCTTGGTTATGTTAGTTTATTACACACACACACACACGCACACACACAAACACACACACACACACACACACACACACACACACACATATATATATATATATATATATATATATATATATATATATATATATATAATTATTTTTGTAATTATATACTTTTATTTTTATTATGTTAGGTTAGCATATAAAATAATTTTGTTTCTCAAGTTCAATATTTTAGTTAATATTTTAAAATCGTGTAATTATATATGATAACGTTATCTTATTTATTTATTTTAATTTTTAAATTTATTAAAATATATGAAAATATGTTAAGGATATTATAGTGTGTGAATAAAAGATAACCCTAAACCAAACATGATTATATTACATACCCCAATTTTAACCAAACACAAGAATCTAACATTCCCAGTAATCTAACATTCCCAGCAATCTAACATTCCCTAAGGTAATCTGACATTCCGTGAACCAAACGACCCCTTAATTTTATTGATTATTATTAGTCTCCACTGAAGCTTGAACTCACAACTTCCCATATGGGAGTCCAACCCAGGTATCATCTGAGCACAAGGTGCTTGACTTATATTGATAAATTTATACTTTAAAATTTATATTTTGAAATTTAAAAAGTAGCATTTAAATTTTGTATGATTAGTAGAGTGAAAAGTGTATGTATCTATGTATTTAAAATGTTTTATAAATGTTTATATTTTGTTAATTTTATAATTTCATTTCTTCAATTATATTTCATATTTTATTAATTATAATTTAATGAAATCACCACAAATATTTTCACGGAAGAAATCTTATATTTCTCAATTTCTTTAACTATATCAATTATAATTACCAAATATTGTGACAATTATCATTATAATTTCATTAATTATATTAATTATAATATTTATTCTCTTTCAATATTTAAATACATTACCATAGTAATGACACGAAAGAAGGAAAGAAAAATTATTAGAATAATTTCCATTAACAAAAATTAGGAAATTATATTAAAAATTAATTCTATATTAAGGTAAGTATAATTATTAGGCAATAATATTAATAATTAATTAATAAGGTAAGTATAATTTATTTTGTACTAATTTTAATTCTATATTGATAAGCATAGTTTGTGTATATACTTTAAGAAAATATTCAATATTCAAAAGTTTATATAATTTAAATAGTAAATTATTAATTACATTACTTAATATAATTGTCCTACCAATTGATTCTATGTTATTACGTATAATGTATACATTTGAAGACTTTTTAAAGCTATTAATTGCCTTAATAATTAAGATAATTTTACTTACATCAATAGTACGTACTAAAAGTATTAGTTTGAATTTTTATAAATAAGATATAATATTATTAAATCAAAATAATTAAAAATAATGTGTCCATAGTATAAAATATTTTATAATAGTAATTTAGGGGCAATTTTGTTTTTCAGTTTCAAGTTAAATTAAAGTTTGATTTTTTTTTCAGGGGCTTTTTTTTTTTTTTTTCAGAAATCGATATGTTTACATTTTTTTTTAAAAAAATTGAAATAATGTTTGTGACTTTAGCTGATTCGATTTGAAATTCGATTTTGCTCTAATTCGATTTGAAAAAAAAAAAACTAAATAATATTTGTTAGTTCAAATCCGTGACTTAGTCCTGGATCTCTATCCTTAACTTCTGTGTTTTTTGTGTTGAAATCAAGGTTTTGTTTCGTTTTTCATATACATCTTGTAATTATCTCAGAGGAATAAAGAGAGAGAGAGAAAAAAAAAAAAAAAGAATCACTTTCCGGTTCAGCAAAGCGCTTCGTTTCCTGTGAGGAGGAGAAGAGTTTGATTTCTGATAAGAAAAACGCTGGCCCTTCGTTGCGGCCGAAAAATTATGAAATCAGCTTTGTAGCCAATGTTTCCAAGGTCTCCATCAATGCCCAATCCGTTGGATCCAGCGGCACTAAAAACACTTCAGCGACAATTGTAAAATAATAATAATAATAATAATAATAATAATAATAATAATAATAATAATAATAATAATAATAATAATAATAATAATAATAATAATAATAATAATAATAATAATAATAATAATAATAATAATAATAATAATAATAATAATAATCTTGAAAATTGTAAAAAAAAAAAATACTTACGTATTCATGAGTGCAACACCAAGATATGATTCCACAGAGAGAACAGAAAGAAGAGAGAAATAGTGCAAAATGAAAAATTATAATTTCCAAACTCACCAATCCATTGTATTTATAAATAGAAAATATGAGAATTATAAACTTGTATAATTTTTCAAAAGGAAAGTGTAATTATGTAATATTACCAATTAATAAATTTTAATTAATTTCTATTTTACATTTATTTACCAAATAAGTTTTACTACAAAATTTGAGCGGGAAAATAAAATAGGAGGATTTTGTTTATATATATATATATATATATATATATATATATATATATATATATATATATATATATATATATATAGGGTCAGGTTCCTGTGAGGTCATGTCTTCCCGTGCGGTCAGTGTGGCATACACCATTAGGTATGTAAAAATGCACCACACAGTGTTCGTAAATACACCATTATGTGTGGTGTATTTTTTGACATTTCATTCTGGTGTATTTTCGAACACTGTATGGTGCATTTAAACATACCTAATGGTGTATGCCGCACTGACCGCACGGGAAGACATGACCTCATAGGAACCAAAATTTATATATATATATATATATATATATATATATATATATATATATATATATATATATATATATATATATATATATATATATATGGATAAGTTACACTTTTGGCCCCCTTCTACTTTTTTAAAAAAAATAATCTATTATGTATATATTAAATGAACTCGAAAGTTATATTTTTCGTCCTTAAGTTATGAGATAATTGTAAAATTCGTCCATAATTGTTGATCGTGTTCACTTTTCGTCCCTAAGCTATAATTGACATTGCAAATTTCGTCCTTTTAATAACAGGTTGTGGTCACTCTTCCTTTCTAAGCTATACTTTGTTCATAATGTTTTGTTAGTAAAAGGACGAAATTTGCAACATCAATTACGGAGTATATTTTATGGACGAAAAGTAAGCACGACTAATATAATAATTATGAATTCTTCAATTATCCTATAACTTAGTGATTAAAAGTGTAATTTGCAACATCAATTACGGAGTAATGTTTGACAATGTTGACGATCGTACTCATATAATTATATACTAGTATGATACTCGTGCGATGCACGGGATGAATATTGTTCATCTTATTGTGTAATTGTGTGAAAAATTTAAGAGATGATGTAATATATAAAAAGTTGGAACAGAAATATAAAATGGAAAATAGAAACAATAAAGAAATTGCTTTAACATACAATATAGAAAAATAAGAGTGATAAAATTACAAATTATTGAAAACTTCGTGGTATACCACGTTAGTTGTTGATGTAATAGAGGAACTTGAGTTCTTGACAATCAATATTTTAAGAGCACCTGGGTTGTTAACTCGAGAAGCAGCCACGTACAACTAACCATGCACAAAAATTGGTTTTTAAGTAACAATCCTACATGTGACAATGTTTGACCTTGACTTTTGTTAATAGTCATTGCATATGATAACATCAATGAGAATTGTCTTCGTTGAAACTTGAATGGCAACCTGGTATCAGATGGTGACATTGACATTTTGGGATCAACACTTTTGTTCCTTTGTTAGCACCATCCATTAACTCAGCTTCAATTACACAGTCTGCTAACTTGGTGATTACCAACCGCGTACCATTACACAATCCAACTGAATGATTAACATTTCTTAACAACATGACTGGTGAGCCAATTTTTAAAGTTAATGAATGGTTTGGTACACCTGAAGCTCTAATGCCGTTCAAAAATTTCGGTGTGTGTACATCACCCAATATTCCAGCGTCTGCATCGGCTTTGCACACTGTGTCACAACTAAAATATGTTCTACTTTCAGCCGTATGCAACTCACTCATATTTTCATTCACTGAGTTCACTACATCGAGTGTATGTGCTAGTATAGCACGCCCTTGAAGATAACTTGCATCAGAATTACCATTGGCAAACATATGAAATGTACTTCTAACAATGGTTTCAATATGGTCACCATCTGACGATAGTAACATATGATTGGGTATTTCAACTTCTGCATAACCATCATTAGGTCCACCAATTTTCCAATCGCCAATAGAAGTTATCCAATCTGCAAACTGTTCTGACCCTTGTTGTTCTACTGTGTCTATGACAGTATTCAGACGCAAGTTCTTCGTGAGCCTCAGTACCTTGCAACTGTTCCACAAATATGAAGAATTTATAGTTGAAAATACAATATCTTGTCTGGTACCTTTGGGGACTACTGGTAGAATTTGATGGAAGTCACCACCTAGTACTACTGTTTTACCACCAAATGTCTTGTTTGAACTATGAGGGTCTACAAATCCCTCATGGGTCGATCTAGAGCTTCAAAACAATGTTTATGCATCATTGGCGCTTCATCCCAAATGATTAAACTCGTTTGTATCAATAAATCAGCTAACTGGCTCCCTGGTTTAATGTTACATGTTGACTCTTCATTTATTGCAATTGGTATTGCGAACCTTCAGTGTGCAGTTCGTCCACCAGGTAACAACAATGAAGCTATACCACTTGATGCCACATTTAAAACAATTTGCCCTTTACCTCGTAAAGTGGATGACAACGCTCTCCATAAGAATGTTTTGCTAGTGCCACCGTAACCATACACAAAAAATAATCGACCTAGATTACCTGAATATCTTTTAAGACGGTGTCATATATATATATATATATCTCTGCTCTTCCGTTAACTTAGCACACAACTCTTAAGCTTCTTGTTGTAAAAACTCACAATCATAAGATAATTCTTCAAACACCAATCTGTTTTGAACCAATCTTGTGTTAACCATGTCTGGAATAGGCATCGGGGGGAAGTCCTTTAAAGATCTATTATGTAGTTCCAACAATTTCTCCAACTCAATTAATCCAAAATTTTTCTTCTCTTCATCTGTTAAAACCAAATCTGTTCCAAAATTGATAAAAAATAAGTCATTCAATAATACAAATTATTTTTACTAAGTGAATCAAACTATATGTGGAATAGTTCAAACCTGATTGTTGTAGTATTCTTCTTTGACAATGTTGAGCATCCTCAAACTAATGTTGACACACCTCATTCCAAACATTTTCCGGCCTAATCATTGAACTCGAGGTTAATAGCACTACAAACAATTTCCTCATTGAATGAGCAGTAGACCAATAACTGGCTTCTACTATTGCATCAATGTACTCTTTATCATCATCCAACAGGTCGTGAGCATAACATGCATCTCTAAATGTAGTATACTCAACCCCATTATATGTCCTAATATCTTTAAAACTTATAGGACCACGGCCTACATTAAATAGGCACCTTAAATAATATATTTCACCAGATACTGGTGGAACATAGAATATGCGACCAATAGCAAAACCCTTCTTTCTCGGATGCCATTCACGAATGTCCTTTTTCCAAACAAATTTTGTAGGCATCTCAATGTAACTTAACAACCTGGCTTCTGGGTATTTTTTATTTGCTACAAACCATTAATTGAAAATACTTTGTGCAACTGTCTCTCTATTCAAAACACGGTCAACGCTATCATCGTCTTGGAAAACAACTGATTGGCAATCCAGGAGGTGAAAGTTTAACCTCTCAACAGGTGGGGTTCTGTATTGAACCTTGAAATTGAATAAGCGTCACATTGCTTCGCAAGATGAAATGTAACGGCAATCATAGTACATGTTCATTTCATCTACAACTTCATTTCCGGTATCATCTGTTGTGGTCTTATAAAACTTAGCTGTGACACGGTCATTACCTTTGTTGGCATACTTGAAGAGGTATTTGATTGATCGTGATTGGTTGCACCATTCAACGTTAATGTGAGCTTTGTACTTCAATAGTAAATACCTATTATGAGGTACAATATACTTGTTATCCAGCTCTATACTACTCCTTTTCACTGTTCTGTTCTCATTTCGCCTACAGTACAACGGGTAGCCGTCTTGGTCAAACTGGGATGCATCAATGAATTTTTTTGGGAAATGTTTAGAGCACTTGTCATTTACCATGCACGGTGAATTTCTTTTTGCATGGCCACACGGTCCATGAACCATGTATTCCTCAACTGCTTTATAAAATGACAAGTCGATACGCTTGTCCGGAATCTCAGCTGAAATGATTGAATCAATGAATGTTGGGCCAGAGAAACCATCATGATTTTCAATGAATAACAATATGTGGGCATGTGGTAAACCCCTTTTCTGGAATTTGATTGTGTAAATAACTGCAATACAAATGAATAGTTAGATTTGTTGTACGAAATTGTATTTCAAAGAAAATGTATAATAAATTATTGAACATACCAGCTTTGACGGGGCCAAATAATTTGCCTTTTTTAAAGCTCTTTGATCATTGAATCCAATTTCATCTTGAAGACACGACAAACTATGTCTGGTCGATCTTCTACTTTCAAGTTTCTTTTTTCAAGAAATCGTTGTATCTCTGGCCATTTAGGATTGCATGTAAATGTAATGAATAGGTTTGGATAACCTATAAATCGACAAATAGCCATATCATCTTGGTAGTTTTGTATCATGTACCTTGCTTCGCTAGTAAAACTTGATGGTAAGATTATTGTTTTCCCTTGAGTGCTAGGTTCAACCTCACCCCGCGCCAAGGAATTTGAAAGACCTTTGTATGCCTCACATCTCAAAGCCTTTTGATTTGCACTTATATAACACAGCCTAGAAGATTCAACCATTGTATACGCATCCACCAAGAATTGTTGCAATAACCTCCTAGCGTAGATTAAAGTTGAGATCTCATTTAACCTTTCATGAATACGGAATGCAAAATACTCCATTTGAGATACACTTTTTCTTGCCCAATTTTGATTAGTAAGTGTTGCTAAAAAATGTATGTCCTCCCTAAATCCATCCTCACCATAAGGGAATAAAATTGGATATTGCAATGGAAAATATGCTGGATTTAATTCACTAATTCTTTTCAAACCTCCACTCTTATACTCTACCAAAATGTCTTGTTCACCCATTGTAGGCTCTAAATCTCCTATAATTAGAGTAGTAACCTCTGATGCAGTGAGTAATGTATAAGTCTGTGCATCTGTAGACCTCATACCTATTAGTTTCATTTTGATTTCAAATGAGGGATTACAATGAAGAAATTTCTTAGCCATACGAAATGACTACACGAACACATAATTGTTATCTAACACATCCTTAAGGTCATGAACAATCTCTACATGTAGATCCACCTTATCGTCGTTGGCCCTATCAAAATTACACCGTCCAACAAATATATTAATATTAATGAATATTTATTTTTTGAATTGTAGATAAAGAACTATTACTTAATAGAATGACATACCTAACACAGTTGATACGATTTTTGATTTCATTTTGTGTATCGTGAATATATAGTTGCGCAAACTTTGGCTAAACCCCATCTGTGGGTAAAAGACTTCCAATGCGATGAAAATTCTGACCATTAATACGGAATACTGGAGTTGCAGTACCATTGTTAGTTGATCTATCCACTTTACCACCCATTGATGTGAAACAAAACATGTTGTTATATGATCTTATATTTTGCAAAAAAACATTTATTTTTTTCACTGGATGCAAAAAATAAATCATAAAACTTTTTTGGTGGCTTTATCATTAACGGTGGCTTTATTTTTCCATTTACACAACATGCTGAATATTTTGGGGAAGCATTCGGTTTGGAATTCATTGACCGTTCAGTGAACCAAGAAATTGCATTACAGTGCTCGCATACAGATTCAGGATCACCCAAGTCTAAGTAATCAACTGCACATAGACAAAAAAGAAAAAAAAAATTAATACACATGGATGTAATTGGAATACATTTTAATAACACTATTTTTTTAATTTAATGTTACTAAACCGACCCGGGTTTGCCACGCTTTGCAAATGTATAGGTTCAACAACCTCTTCAAAATCTGAAATTAAATTTCTCGCATGCTGTACAGGGTGTTCAGACATGTTTGTTGTCTGTCGTTGTACATTCTCTATTGTAATACAACAATTCGGTTCGCCACCTATTTTTATGACACAAATAAATATTAAAATCATGCAATTTAATTATTAAGAGATAATAATATATTAAATTTGGTGTTTTAAAATATTAATTGTACATAAATATCATTTATATCATCACTTAAATTTGGTGTCAAATTTAAGTTAAATGCATGAACATGGCGCTTGTTTGGAGGTGAATTATCAACAACATCAATAACATCATTGCAATTACCTAAAATATCGCATACATAAGGTATAATTAGAATGCTAGTAATTGTTCATAATTTATAATTAGAATGCTAGTAATTGGTCATAATTTATAATTACAATGCTAGTAATTGTTCATAATTTATAATACTAACTATTTGAAATATTGGTTAACGGTTGTGTGTAACTAATTTGTTGACTCGACATCGATCTCTGAATTTATCGTCCTCCGAAATGTAGAACCTGTTAAAAAATAGAAATATTATAATAATACTAATAAATCATTTTTAACAATAGATGGTCTTCAATCACTACAAGAAAAATGCACATAGACAACGGTTAATAACGATTGTCGTATGGGTAAAATTTTTGTTGTTGAAGCCGGTGTTGTTGTAAGTCCCGCGCATAGACAACGGTTTTTAACCGTTGTCTTTTATAGAAACAACAACGGTTTTTTAATCGTTGTCTATTAAGTGTTGTTGAAGCTGGTGTTGTTGTAAGTCACGCACATAGACAACAGTTTTAAACCGTTGTCTTTTCTAGAAACGACAACGGTTTTTTAACTGTTGTCTATTAAGTGTTGTTGAAACTGGTGTTATTAAAAGTCACGCACATAGACAACGGCTTTTAACCGTTGTCTTTTCTATAAACGACAACGGTTTTTTAACCGTTGTCTATTAAGTGTTGTTGAAACCGGTGTTGTTAAAAGTCACGAACATAGACAACGATTTTTAACCGTTGTCTATTGATTGTTGTTGAAACTGATGTTGTTAAAAGTCACGTACATAGACAACGGTTTTAAACCGTTGTCGTTTCTTTCAAAGACAACAGTTTTTGACCCGTTGTCTATTTAATGTTGTTGAAACCGGTGTTGTTAAAAGTGATGCACATAGACAACGGTTTTTAACTGTTGTCTTTTCTGTAAAAGATAACAGTTATAAGCTGTTGTCTATTGTGTGTTGTTGAAAATCGCTGTTGTTAAAAGTCACGCCCATAAACTATTGTCTTTTGTAGAAAAGACAACAGTTTCAAACTGTTGTCTATTGTAAAATAGACAATGGTTTTTAACCGTTGTCTCAACGGTTTTTAACCTGCTTAAATTTTAATCATATAAAAAATCAATTTATCCATTCACCATGACCAAGTGTAGTTACATAATTTTGCACAAGCTAAGGTTCAAAATAACAAGTCTAAATACTTCCATGACCAATTCTAATCGAATCATATATCATCCAAGTCATAATACTACAAAAACCAATTCCACTAACCAAGTCTAAATAGTGTATATTGTTACAAAAAACCAGAATGGCAGAATATCCAATGTCTACACATATGAGCAAGAATTAAATGTAGTGCAGCTGAATGACTAATTGCAGTATACTCTATCAATCACAAGAGGCATTTGATGAAGTTGCAAAGGTCCACAAAATCATTCACAGTGTCCAGAACAGAAAATACTCATCCTATGTCGGGAAATGATAGGAAATTTTAGCATCTGAAATGCAAAGAGAAATAATTAAGACATGTAAGATATGCTAATTACCGGATCACCAGTTTCCATGGATCTATGTGACAGAAAAGCTGACACATCATACCTAGAAAGTAAGGATATTGCATCAGTAAATAAGAACCATACTTGATAAACCACCAAGTTTCAATGGCTTTTAACAACACCGGTAAATTAGGGGACTGGCCATCTCATTCATCAGTAAATTAAGAAACCATTTAGACCCTATTGCCCTAATTTGGATTCATATGCAGGATAACTTCCTATTTGCAACAATTTCCAGAAAATGCTAAGGTTAAGCTATTCATATGATAATAATACAAAACAGAAATCTTAAAATTCACTAAGTACACCTTTAAGTGTTGTTATTAACGGTAAGTTTAATATTAATATTAAACTTACCGTTAATAACAACACTTAAAGGTGTACTTAGTGAATTTTGAAATACACCAAACAATTGACCTTGATTTGTTGTAGGAGCAAATTTATTCATTGACGATGTTCCAACATTTTCATTACATGTTCTAACTTCATTTTCTGCATATATAAAAATTCATGTTCAAATGTAGATATATTATAATTTTTTTTCATAACAACTACATTTTTTAAAAAAATAATGTATACACAATTATGCTTATATAAATTTCTCAATACAAAACAACCCTAATCCATCTTCACAGCCTAATTATAATGTCATTAAATACTAATTACTAATAATGGAAGGCGTTGAAGTGGATAAACAACAAGATAAATGGAGTTTTGCCGGCTGACGATGGTGCTCATTGTAGAGTTTGCTTTCCGAAGCCACAGTGTTTGCTAATTCGCAAACATAGTTTTCAGATAAGTTTTTTTTTTCTTGTTTTTTCGCATGTAAATAGTCTAGATTTATCTATATTCATAGACTATGGATGATCTCATCTGAATTCCATACATAAATAGATCTATTATAATTTTTTGAGTACTTTTTAATTGAATAGACGTAGAGGTAATAGCCTGGTTATCCCGGAACATATTGTTTATGGTTGTGTATGTTAGTGTTGATGTAATCTATCAATATAATAAAGCAGTAACTTTCTACTAAAACCATTATCCCGCCCAAACCATACGGCGCCGTTTTGAGTATACTAATTCTATAGTTTGCGAATTGATGGTGATAGATTAATGTTTGGCTTTCCAATGACAATTATATGGCTAATACGTTATGCTACCGAGGATATTCAATAGACTTCTAATTATGTAAGACTTCTAATGATAACCTATATAAAATCTATTTCCAAGATTGCTTGAATCGATTTACATATATACACGTAAAGACCTTCAGATACACACATACAGATTTAAAAATGTATTTAAAATAAATGCTTCCAAATAATCAGCATGATTATTATGATTTATTTCTTGGAAACTCAAAGGTTTCCATCTCTATTCCGGCTGCAAGTAATGGTAGCTTCAACTTTCAAATTCCACTTCTTGAGCCTATATAAACCTCAGTCTCAATCTTTTTTTCACCCACCATTGTTCCAAATCAGCCTTTAGCAGTAAACCAAATTCTAAACCCCTGCATATTTTAAGATGCCAAGTCAATATATTTTGGTTAAAGATGTTATCCCTTTAAATAGAGAGAGGGCCATTCGAGTTAGGTGTGTTTGAGTTTATGAAATACCTGAAAGGAGAGGTTCGAGACAAATGAAGAGTAGAGAGGTTGTGGTATGCGATGAAGAGGTAAGCACTATTTTGTAAACACTATTACATTTTCCTTTCTTTGTTTGCACACTATAAAATCTGTTCACTATTCTATTATGCAGGGAACATTTATCCATGTAAACATGCAAAACTCGGATGTAGACAAGTACAAGAATGTGTTCAAGGAAGGGAAGCTATATTCTCTAAAAAAATTTTTGGTGTTCAGTCAGTACTATATGTATAGGACTTGTGATCATCAGTATATGATAAGGTTGAACTACAATACTCAGGTCAAGGCAATCAAATCCAGAGGGTTTCCTACCAACATGTTTCAGCTTAAACCCTATCAATGTCTCAAAGATGCAACTTTAGTGAATGACAAAGTCATGTTTGGTAAGTCATTTATGTATGCATTGTTAAAGGTGCAGATTTTATTTTTTAAGCCATATAATCTTCTATTGTTGTATTACAGATGTAATAGGCAGAGTCATTGAGATTCATGCTCCATTAGACAAAATAATAGGGGGGAAACCAGCAAAACTAATAGATTTCAAGATAACAGACAATGAGTAAGTTTCATACACTCTATGTGTTAAGTTCATTCAAATTTTTTCCCATTTTACTAACACATTTCAATACAGGGGAACTCAGTTGAAATGCACTGTTTGGGATAACCATGTAGCTTCCATGCTACCATTCTACAATTCAGATCTGAAAGAACCAGTTGTTGTGGTTATTCAGCTATGTAGGGCAAAAATTGTAAATGGTAAGATGTTTACTTATTCCTAAGATATATTACATTCTATTTTACTGCTGCCCCAAAATCATTCTGATATCCTTTACTGTTGACTTTTTTATGTTGTTTTATTAGGTGAAGTCAGGATCACAAGTTCCTATGATGCTACCAAGCTTTACTTGAATGCCTCTTATCAGGAAGTTGAAGATTTCAAATCCAAGTATGTTTCTATTATTTTTGTGTAACATTGAAAAACAGTGCTGTATTTTTTTTTGGGGAACAGTGCTGTATTAATTCTTTTTTTTTTTTTTTTTTTTTTTTTTTTTTTTTTGGGTCTACACTGCTGTATTCATTTATTTTTTGGGTTTGTGTAGGATACCAACTGTTCATAGTCCTTTAAGAAGTATTACCACAAGTGCAGTTATGTCCCAGTCCACTGGGATTTCAGAATTCAGGAGTGGTGCTCTGACTGTCACCTCAGTTGGTGATTTATTGAAAAACAAACAGGTGAAAATTGTATTCATTTTACATTCTCTCTGCTAGGTCTATATATAATAACTCAATTCTATGTTTTCTTATGATATTTTTCTTTCTACTATTCTATATTTTGATATTTGTTACCAGTGCTACTAATTAATGGCCAGTGCTACTAAATAATTACTTGGTTCAATGCAGGATGGGGATTTTTATGTTCCTGCACAAATTGTAGGAATTGAAGGTTTATTTGGGTGGATGTACATATCTTGCATGACATCAGGTTGCAACAGAAAACTGAAACCAGAAGGTGAGGATCTAATTTGTTCTAATTGTGATAAGAAGTTCAAGGAAGGAATGGCAAGATATAGGGTAATTGTTAGGGTTATGGATCAAGGATTATCAGATGCTCCCTTCCTTTTATGGGATAGGGAGTGTTCAGACTTGGTAGGAATCCCTGCAAACCTCCTCTACAAGAAATATAACAAGGTAAGCTCACTATCCTAAACACATAACTTTCTTATAAAAAAGATAATACATCCACACTCTATTTCTGTTTTAACTTTTCCTAATATGTATTTGTCTTGGTTATAGGTTTCAGATATTTCCAAAGAGTTGGAATCATTGATTGGATTGTCAATGATATTTAAGATAACATTGAAAATCAACCAAATGAGGGGAGGCAATCCAGCTTATACTGTGATGAGACTGTTGAGGGATGAACTATTGGTTTCTACCTACTGTTCAAAGCTGAAAGACAACCAAGAGAAGGATCTTATATCTAAGATGATTGATGAGGATGAAGAGGAGGATGAAGAATCTGACCAGGTACTACTATTTATGTTATTATGTAGTTTTTTTTTTTTTTTTTTTTTTTTTTTTTTTTTTTTTTTTTTTTTTTTTTTTTTTTTTTTTAACTTTTGCCTAACTTTGAACACTAAGTCACTGCTTCCATGTACAGGAAACATCCAATGGTGATAATGAGGTCAACAGCCCAATTAGTGTTCAGCAAACTCAGAGCCCTGTGGTTGATTTGGAGGACTGCACTGTGGTTAAGAGATCACTCCTTGATGAGTTCTCTTCTTCTGGCAAGGTTAAGAAGCCTAAAGTTTGATTGTAAAATTAAACAATTTGATATTGATGCTCTGTTGGTTTGGAATTGATAAAGTGTAAGACAATTGACCACCTTTGTGTGGTTTTGGGGTTTTTGGATATTGGTTTTTGACAATCAGTTTTTGAACTAACTGTTTTTGAGTAATTTGGCTCTTTTTTTGTATTTTGGTATTGTATTGTGTATCTAACTGTATGCAGGTTGAATATCAAGAACCAGCAATGAAGGCTATTAGTTTTCAAGGCATCAGCTAAAACCACAATCATATATTGTATTGTGTATCTAACTGTATTTTGGTGTTGTATTTTTACCAAGTCTTTTGTTGTTGCAAGTCTTTTGTAGTTGTAATTTGTTTATTGTATTCTTAAGATTTATAATAAAGTTGGATCTTATATACAATACTGCTTATTAAATTTAGTCATCTAATGTACCTAAAACAAATGCTTAACATACCAAAAAAGTTGATGAAAGGTTAAACTACACCAATTCTTATCTAAAATAAACTACAGTTGACTAAATATTATTAAGTTTAAGATGAAATTACCTACTTTTTATTTTTTATTTTTAAACAAAAGCTAAAGGAAAAACAAACATTTATGCAAGTTTTCTGTAACATCCAAGCACACCAATTCTTATCTAAAATAAACTACAGTTGACTAAATATTATTAAGTTTCAGATGAAATTAGCTACTGTTAATTTTTTTTTTTTTTAAAAAACCTAAAGGAAAAACAAACATTTATGCAAGTTTTCTGTAACATCCAAGCACACCAATTCTTATCTAAAATAAACTACAGTTCACTAAATATTATTAAGTTTAAGATGAAATTAGCTACTGTTAATTTTTTTTTTAAAAGATAAAGGAAAAGCAAACATTTATGCAAGTTTTCTGTTTTGAGTTTAAGATTTTAAAAAATGTACAGATATAAAGATTTTTTTGCTCATTTCAAGATAATAACTTGGCATCACTTGCCACAGACAATTATTAATCAATTGGCACAGACAATTATTAATCAAAGAGACAGAAACTCCTAATCTTTTTGCCATCAGATTTGTAAGATAATAACTTGCCTATAAAGGAATTGAAAGTTATTTTAAAATGAAATTTCAATACAATTTTAAAGGATTTCAAAGTAACTTTAAAATCAAATATGGAATTCAGCGCCTAAAGCAAAACAAATCACCTTGCATCAATAGTTAAGAAACAGATATTTAACACATGATATAGGCAAAATCATCTTTTAAGAAACAGTTTCACCTTGCATCAATAGGTAAGAAACAGATATGTAACACCTAATTTTGGCATCAAACTGTCAAGATCATCATTTGCAAATAAAACAACTAACTGTGGAAAGTCTCCAACCACAAATACAATGTCAAAGTAATAATCTAATCTAATCATGTAAATTACCAATTTAAATCAGAATCCTGATATAAAGTACATGATTTCTTACTTTACTAACCAACGACTGAACTCATATAAATTAATTGAAACAGTCATGGATTGAAACAGTCATATAAATGGACTAATAAGAGACTTACATTTTACTGTAAATCCCTACAGCCTAAATAAAAACCAAACGACAATTACAAATCTAAGAAAAAGAAAGTGCTAAACATTTTGGCATAAGGTTTGTAAGATCATCAGTTGCCTATCAAAATAACTGATTAGTAATACCACTTTTACAATTTCAAATTAAGGAACTCATATAAAGAATTTAAAGTCATTTTAAAATGAAATTTGTTATACAATTAGAACGGATTAGAAAGGAAGTTTAAAATGAAATATGAAATTAATTCCCTAAACAAAAACAATTCACATTGTATTTTTTATCTAAGAAACAGATATTTAACATTATTTTGGCATCAGATTGTGAATATCATCATTTGCCTATAAAACTAAATGATTAGTAATACCACATATACAATGTCAAATAAATCCCAATACTTTAATGAATTTAAAGTCAAATTAAATTGAAATTTAAAAAAAAATTACCTAAAGCAGGACAAATCCCATACATTTTGCCATCACATTTATAACAGCATCATTTGGCAATACAACTAACTGCTTTTTAATATACTGATGCAAGGCCAAACAACTTTACTATTGTGATTCCTATCAAATTGGCATCAGAAAAAATATTTCATCACTTGCCTATTCAATTAACTGCTTAGTCAAGCCACCAATTTAATGTTAAACTACTAAATCCATTTAAGCAAAAATGACTTAATAAAGGCTATGGTATGATAAACTACACAAGTAATATGTCAGCAATCTCAAAATAAAATCATTTAAATATTAATATCAAATTAAACTGTTCCCAAGAAAAACTCAACAGTCATATAAATTATTACTGCTAATTCATTTTGCACACAAAACACCCTTTTTTAGACAAACAAGACAATCAAATAAACACCAACTGATATAAAACCTAAAACAGAAAACGCTCAGACAGTGCAAATATTGACAGTTTCACTTTTACCACACAAAGAAAATTCACTCAGTTATCATGCGGAAAATTCTCAGCTCTACGATTATAGGTAGCAAAAGGAAGCAGGCAATTAATACAACAGGTAACCTACGCACATTAAGATTTCAGAATTTAAGCATTACCTTTCGCAAATTTTGTTATATGTACACTGTTGAGACAAGTTTGCAGCCAAAACGCCATTGTTAGACTGTAATCTTACTCTTATTGTTCACAAAATACCTGAAAGCAAGATGACGATTAAAATTTCATAAAAACCCTAAATGATTTCGTATGTAGAACAAATCTATACACTAAGAAATGCTTCAAATTTTAGATTTACACAGATAAAAGTATAAAAACACAAAAGAAATCGAAATGTTACCTTGATATTAGGTTTCTCGACAACCGGTAGAATCCACAGATAGTACACTGACTCATCTCCAACCTCTTACTCTAAAACACCAGAATTGAATCTTGAACACTAGATCTAACAGAAATGAGTCAGTTCGAACATTGTATATGAGGTGGGTGTATAGACGAAACAAATTTCTTCGGTCATAATGAAATTGTGGTAGAAATAGAGTTGAAAACCTAAAGACTAAAGCGCCATGAACAAGATCGGAGTGTTTAGGAGCGATCTTACATAGCGTTACAGACAAAGAGAGCTAAGGGAGTATCTATGCGATCGGAGTGAGTGTTAGAGAGAGAGAGGTAAGGGATTGTGGTTGTTCTACGATGTCCGAATGAGTTGTCCGGTTAGTCAAAGGGAGAAGCGGGTCGGGTTTGGGTATTGTGTCCGGGTTTGGGTTGTAGGGTCGGGTTTGGGCTCCTGGAATATGGGCTTATTAATTTATAGGGAAAATGGCACTTTTTACCCCTGAGTTATATACTTATAGCACTTTTTCCCCCTCAATTATTTAGGTAAGCACATTAGTCCCCTCAATTATTCTAAAAGTGGTGCTTTTTCCCCCCTGATATATTAAATTGACATTTATACCCTTAAAGTAAACATTTTATTTATTTTACTACTCCAACAAATTATTGCATATACGTAGGGATGACCATGGTTCGGTTTGAATTGAACCGGATACTAAAGCAATCGAATTAATAGTTTACGGTTATAATTCAGATCTAGAACCCAATATTTAAATGTCAATTTATTAAAATTATGTATCAAAAAAATTGAATCTTGAACCGTGAACCGGCGGTTCCGGATCTGATTCGCGATTTTGAACCGTCTTTATTTTAAAATTTTATTTTTTATTTTAAAATAGTCTAAATTCAACAATAAATGTATTTTATTTTTTCAGTTCGGAACATGAACCGTCCGTTCCGGTTCACGATTTTAAGAAACTCTAAATATCGAATTTCGATTCTAAATTGTAATTGGAATATTTCGGTTTGGTTGCTATAGTGTTTGTTTAGTTTGAACCAAATTATGGTCATAATTTGTTGGAGAAAAAAAATAAATTAAATATTTAGTTTAAGGGTAAATATGTCCATTTAACATTTCAGGGGGAAAAACAGCCACTTCAATAATTTAGGGGGAAAAATGCTATAGGTATATAACTCAGGGGAAAAAAGTGCCATTTTCCCTAATTTATATATAGGATTTTGGTTTACATTGGCTAAGTATGTATTATGTGTCTATTACAATGGGCTAAGTATATATTCAAAGATTGATATAACTGGGCTAAGTATACATTTTGTCAATCATTATTGTGTGGACCATGGTCATAAAAGTTGTTGTGACCATATTTTGTATAGTATAAGATAATGTAGATTCAATATGAAGTAAATGTATACTCAGCACAAAAATTATATACATTTAGTCCAGGGGATGTACATTATGGTTGCACTGAGTATACATTATATTAGGTAATGTACATTAAGTACAAAATTAATGTACATCTAATATATTAAAAATATTTATTTTGTTATGGTCCACATAACATTGTGTGGACCATGGTGTTTTACATTATTTTTGCACTAAGTAAACATTATCTTAGGTAATGTACATTAAGTACAAAATTAATGTACATTACCTATATATTAAAAATGTATTTTTGTTATGGTACACATAACGTTGTGTGGACCATGATCCACACAATACTTTGTCGTATTGTGTCATGTGTTTATTTTGTACGTATTACTACACAGACGGAATATTATCTAACCCATTTTCTAATATGTTACAGAAAATGTACATAGTAAAAAGGTGGGAAAAAATACGGATGTTGTGGGAAAAGAGAATCAAACGCACTCATACACGGCAGGAACACCAATTTGCACTTCTAATAGAACTGCAACACCAATCACTTGCGTCACGGATGGTAAATCAAAACAATTTAATTTTCAATATATATGGTATTGTTCTTTTAGAGTCATATATGTATAATTTTTTTGCTAATGTGTATTTTATTGTCTTTTCTCAAAACAAGAATTTGTCAGTATATACCTCAGCGCACATAATATGGAATGTACAAATAGCAACAGTAAATGCAAAAAATTTGTACTAGGAGTCAACAGCCCTAGTTTCTATACTGGAAGTAGCGGCATAACTAATGGTACATTAAATTAGGTTTTACAATGTATCTGTATTTTTATATATACTTCGTTAATTTATACGTTCGTGTTTTGCGCAATTTAATGGTAAAAGGTCAAATATTACAATCCACAACTACAAGACGACCGCTTTCAGAAATATCAAATGATACGTTTCTTTTTTTGGTTTTTATAATTATTAATGGACGGTGATATTATGAATTATATTTTAATAATGTACTTTTTTGTTAGTCAATACGAACAGAAACATCATACAAAACACGCAGCTCAGTGCAGATCCAAAGGCAACGAATGTGCTTAATAGAGATTTATCTATGGCGTTTGAAGAAGTCTCCAATATTCCAATAATATCAACAAACATAGACGGAAGAGCCAATGGTAATTTTTTCGGTAGTAATTGCGATGTTATTCTCCATTTTAAAGAAACAGTTGAATCAATGGTGATAAATTGAAAATGTTCTATACAGGATTCAATCAAAATGTTGAAGAAGAAGAAAATCTGACTAATCTATTACAACCGTCATATGCAAGCAAAGGTATGTATCAAAGTGAAATTTATTTAAATAAAACGTTTTTAAGTATGATTTTTTAATGGTAATAATTTATTTTGTATTTTTATACGTAGTGGAATACAATGATTTTGGTGATCCAAATAACACATGTCAACATTGCGGGGCAGTTTTTTGGCATGCGGAAAGGATAAACAAAACGGTGATTCACGGTACACCCAGATATACAATGTGTTGCAACAATGGTAAGATTCAATTGCCAACAACACAATTGCCCCCGCCGCCGATATATGACCTTTTTTTTGAAGGGGGGGGGGGGGGGGAGGGGGGAAAGCAAGCATTTCTTGAACAACATAAGGACGTACAATAACATGTTCTGCTTTACATCAATGGGTGGTAAGATAGATAGAGATGTCAACAAAAACGGTGGACCACCAGTTTTTCGAATACATGGACGAAACTTCCACTACATTGGTAGTCTTTTGCTAGTGGACGGGAAACGACTACATTTTGCGCAGTTGTATATCTATGATACTAATAATGAATTGGTTAATCGGCTCAGTTCCGTAAGGCATGTCTATATTGTGATAGGTTATTGTTTAATATAATGCCGTATATTAAATTAACTCCCTTTCTAATTGAATTAATTACAACGTTTGATGTTATATTAATAGGCCAGACGGTGATCTTAGTGACATCCATGAAGAAATTGTCAAGGATATTCAACAAGCGTTGGATGCAAATAATGTGTTGGTCAAGTCCTTCAGAATGGCCCGTTCAGAAATAGACAAAAATCCTGTGGCTGAGGTAAAGATAAAATTGCTTGGTAAGAGATCAAAGGATGCAAGAACTTATAATTTGCCGCAAGTTTCTGAAGTTGCTGCATTAATTGTTGGGGATATTGATGCAAATATTGGTGAGCGTGACATCTTAGTGGAAACAAAGAGTGGCCTATTGCAACGAATTAGTGAACTAAACCCAGCGTACTTACCAATGCAATACCCGTTGTTGTTTCCTCATGGTGAGGACGGTTATAGGGAAGACATCCAGTTTTCCACATTAAAAGGAAGCAGTTCAGGTGGTCGTGAAAGGATTAGTCCGCGGGAATACTTCTCATACCTCATCCAGTCAAGATTGTCGCAGCTTTCTACATTACTGCATGCAAAAAGGCTTTTCCAACAATTTTTGGTCGATGCGTACACAATGGTTGAGTCAGGAAGGTTAATCTATATAAGGACACACCAAAAAAGTTTGAGGTGCGAAACACATAATTGCTTGAATGATGCATTAACACGCGGTGAAGTGGATCCTCAGACTCAAGGAAAGAGAATAATATTGCCTTCAAGTTTTACGGGTGGTGCTAGATACATGATACAGAATTACTAGGATGCTATGTCTATATGTAGATGGGTTGGATACCCGGATCTCTTTATCACATTCACATGCAATCCAAAGTGGCCTGAGGTGAAATGCTTCTTAATTGATCGTAATTTAAAACCAGAAGACCGGCCTGACATAATATGCAGATTATTCAAGATGAAGTTGGATGCTTTAATTTCTGAATGCAGGAAGAACAAGTTGTTCGGACCCGTCATTGGAGGTACTTACCTATTTGGTTATGCCTATGAACTTATTAAAGTAAGCAATCTGTTGTATAACGTTGTTTATATTCTAACTGTAAACCCATTTTTCCATGTTAATAGTTATCTATACCATCGAATTTCAAAAGCGTGGTCTACCGCATGCTCATATACTGTTTTTCTAGATAAACAACATGGAGCATCACATGGGATACATTTGGACAACATAATTTCTGCTGAGTTACCTGATCCAATACAAGATCCAGAATACTTCAAATTAGTGGATGAGTTTATGATGCACGGTCCTTGCGGTAGAGCTCGGTTGAATTCTCCATGCATGGTGAAGGGTAAATGTACTAAACACTTTCCCAAAAAGTTTGTTAATGTTTCTACTTTTGACGATGATGGTTATCCTATTTATCGAAGACGTGACAATGGTCGTTCTATGGTGAGAAATGGGATTAACTTGGATAATCGCTATGTGGTGCCACACAATAGGCATTTGTTGTTAAAGTATAGAGGTCATATTAATGTGGAATGGTGCAACCAATCCCGTTCAATAAAGTACCTGTTCAAATACGTGAACAAGGGTCACGACAGGGTGACAGCAGAGTTCTACCGAAGCAATAGTGAGGAAGAGGAACCGCAAGTGATTGATGAGATAAGTATGTATTATGATTGTAGGTACATATCTCCATGTGAAGCTGCTTGGCGTTTATTTGGTTTTGAAATACAGTTAAGAACACCATCAGTTGAACGGTTAAGCTTTCACTTGCCCAATCAACAGAGTGTAGTTTTTGCAGATGATGATCCGGTTGATAACATACTCAGTCGACCAACTATATTAGATAGCATGTTTCTGGAATGGTTTGAGGCAAATAAAACATACCCAGAAGCAAGGAAACTGACATATGCTGAAATGCCAACGAAGTTTGTATGGAAAAAAGATATTAGAAAATGGCATCCAAGGAAAAGAGGGTTTTCAATAGGTAGAGTTTTCTATGTGCTGCCTGTCAGTGGTGAGATCTTCTATTTGCGATGTCTTTTGAATAAAGTTCAAGGGCCTACAAGTTTTTCAGATATAAGAACAGTCAGTGGTGTGCAGTACGAATCCTTTAGGGATGCGTGTTCAGCTAGAGGATTAGTAGACGACGATAAAGAGTATGTTCATGCTATTGAAGAAGCAGGTCAGTGGGCCACATCTGCGAATTTGAGAAGATTGTTTGTGACTTTGTTGATGTCCAACTCAATGTCAAAACCTGAAGTGGTGTGGGAAGCTACGTGGAACTCTTTGACTGAAGATGCACAATTCAAGATTAGAGAACAGACGGGACTTGGATGTATTCAATTTTTTTAATGTCTTTCTTCATGTTATGCAATATGGTTTTATAAACACACTTATACTATTTTTTGGATAATTATACCACAGATTTAATTTTATTTGAGGATCAAAAAAAGAATTATGCACTTTCGGAGATAGAACTACTTTTGACAACTATGGGAAAGAGTTTGAAAGACTTTCCTTCAATGCCCTCTCCTGATTTACAGTTTCTGGACAGAACAACCAATATGTTAATACAAGAGGAATTGTCATATGACATTAATGCAATGAAGGAAGAGAATGATAGTTTGGTGGACCAACTCACTGAAGAGCAAAAGGCAATATATGATAACGTATTGGACGATGTTGTGAATGAGTTTGGGGGATTATTTTTTGTGTATGGATATGGTGGTACGGGTAAAACCTTCTTGTGGAGAGCATTGTCTTCCGCTTTGAGGTCAAAGGGTGAGATTGTTTTAAATGTTGCATCAAGTGGCATAGCTTCGAGGTTTGCAATACCAATCGCTGTTAATGAAGATTCTACTTGCAAATCAGTCAAAGCAGTCCGTTGGCACACTTGATAATGCAAAGTAGGTTGATCATTTGGGATGAGGCACCAATGATGCATAAATTTTGCTTTGAAGCTTTGGACCGAGCTATGCGAGATCTACTGCGTGTTCAAAATTCAAGAAGTTTTGAAATGACTTTTGGTGGGAAAACCGTTGTGTTAGGTGAAGACTTCAGACAAATTTTACCAGTAATTCCAAAGGGGACCAGGCAAGATATAGTGGGTGCAAGTATAAATTCATCATATCTGTGGAGAAGCTGTAAAGTATTTAGGCTTACAAAGAATCTACGGCTTAGGGCATTGCAATCAGAGTCTGGAGTTCAAGAGATTGAAGAATTTACAAAGTGGATTGCTAATATAGGTGACAGAACAATTGGTGATTCGTTGGATGGTGAATGTGAGATCAACATTCCAGAAAAATTCTTACTCAAGTCGGTGGAGGATCCTATTTCTACAATTGTTGATAGCATATTCCAGGGGTTTCGTAATGGAATTCGAGATGTCAAATATATAAAAGACTGTGCAATTTTGGCACCAACTTTGGACGTGGTAGATAACATCAATGAATACATGAATGAATTTAATACTGCCGAAGGAATGACATATCTCAGCTGTGATTCGGTGTGCAAATCGGATTCCAATGTTGACATGCTTGCGGATTTACACACGCCGGAGTTTTTAAATGGATTACGATGTTCTGGAGTGCCAAATCACTCATTGACTTTAAAAGTTGGATCACCCATTATGCTCTTGAGAAATATTGATCACTCATTGGGGTTGTGCAATGGTACAAGAATGACCATTTCAAAGTTGGCTACACATGTTTTAGAAGCGCAAATATTGACCGGAACAACTGCTGGTACAAAGGTTTTAATACCAAGGATGTCCTTAACACCGTCAGATCCAAGATTGCCTTTTAAGTTTCAAAGAAAACAATTTCCGCTAATGTTGTCATATGCCATGACAATAAACAAAAGCCAGGGTCAAACATTGTCAAACGTCGGTTTATTTTTGAAGAGGCCAGTATTTAATCACGGACAACTGTATGTAGCGGTGTCAAGGGTTAGTAATCCTAGCGGATTAAAAATGTTGATTTGTGACGAAAATGTACAATCCAAAAATACGACTACAAATGTCGTATATAAAGAAGTTTTCAATAATGTGTAATAAAAAAACAGTTCATACTATTACTTTTAATTGTACGACCTTACGTATTACTTCTTACATTTATGACCGTGCATCGCACGGGTACAAATACTAGTTTTTCTAAATCTTATTACAGTTTCCTAACATTTCAGGCGACTATTGGGTTAATACAAAAGAGAGAACAGACGAGCGACCATTTTCACCAAAAGATTAGTGGTTTCTAGTGCTAACAGTTTAATAAAAAGGCATAGATCATTGACTACATGAGAGCTAAAAAATATGTTCTACTATATTTAAGTTTTTGAAAGGAGAAATACCTTTGTTTTGATGATAATGTTTCCTCTTTGACCCAATGGTGCATGAAGATGTAATCTTTCTCATGGTCTGTAATCGCAAAGCTTCTTTCTGTTTTGTGATGGAATGTTTTTAGTGTCTTCGCCACCCTTTTGTTTTGTAGCTTCAATCTTAAGTTAAGGCTTATTGAAAAAGGTGTAATTAATGGCTAACCATAATTATTCCCATAAACATAAACATTTTATTGGAAAACAAATATGCCTACCGGAGTAATTGATTTTGATTGGCTTAAAAATAAATGTTGCACTAAAAATAAATAGAAACTAAATAAATTCTCACCCAAATAAATCCTCACGAATATTGTGTTTTTTTTAGCCTTGTAATTATCAATGGTAAATGATTAATGGAAATAAAATATGGAAGCTATTAATATTCTATATACTAAAAATAAGTTGAATATTATATATATATATATATATATATATATATATATATATATATATATATATATATTAAGGCTATAATAATAATAATTCGTTAATACTAAGAGGATGCATGCATGATTCTGCGTTTCTCTATGTGAATGAAAAGGCTAATTCGTTATTATTATTATTATTATTATTATTATTATTTTATTATTATTATTATTATTATTATTATTATTATTATTATTATTATTATTATTGTAGTAAATACTAAATAGTAATAGTAATTATAGTAATAATAATTGGCTAATAGGATGATTCTGCATTTCTGTGTTGTTATTAAGGCTGATTTTACGTTTTGTATTAAAGATTTATTTAATTAAGGTTGATTTAATTTAAATAATTTAATTAAGGATGATTGGATTTAATTAAGGATGATTTAATTTAATTAAGGATGATTATTTGTAATACTAAATATATTGGCACATGAATCTATTTATAAATTAAAATGAATATAATAAATGTTTTCACATTTGGGTCAGAGTGTAGGGGCCCTTAGGGTTGGGGTTCAACCTTTTGGAAGAATTATTTTTCTTTAATATATATAGAGGATTAGAGATATCGATTCATTCCATTGACCAATAGAATAGGAATACAAAGTATATCTAAAACAGAACTCTAACAAACCCTGAGTAACAGACTATACTAATTCAGCTACTCTAAAGCCACACAATTACAAACATATAATATAAAGATATCATAACAAATAATAATAATGCTAACACACCCCCTCAAGCACAAGGTTGGTGAGCCACAACATTGAGCTTGTCCCGTAGAGCGGCAAAATGCGGAGCTGGAAGTGGTTTAGTAAAGATGTCTGCCAACTGATCTGTAGTAGAGACGTAGTTGACAAAAAAGTTTCCAGAGGCCACCTTGTCGCGGACAAAGTGGTAATCAATCTCTACATTGGCGCAGAGATATCACACCACAACGTCGCCGGCTGTCTTGCATGCAATCCAAGCTCACGGAGTAATGATACGACCCATGTGACTTCTGCGGATACGTCAGCTAGAGCTTTATACTCGGCTTCAGTGGACGACCGTGCAACAGTGCGTTGTTTCTTCGAGAGCCAGGATATGAGGTTAGACCCGAGATAAACCGCAAAACCACTCGTGCTCTTCCTCTCAATAGGACATCCTGCCCAATCTGAATCAGAGAAAGCGTGTATAGCAGTAGACGTGGACGGAGACAGACGGAGGCCGTAGTCTAATGTCCCTTTGATGTAGCGCAGTACCCGTTTGACGAGAGCCCAATGGTCAGTAGTTGGTGCATGCATGAATTGACACAAGCGATTCACCGCATAAGATAAATCCGACCACGTGATAGTCAAATACTGTAAGGCCCCTACCACACGACGATACTGAGTGGGATTGTCATGCAGCTGGTCAGAGGGAGTTACCGCTTTAGTGACTGCTGCCGGCGTAGAAAGTGGTTCGCAATCCACCATTCCGGACCTTCCAAGAAGGTTAGTCATATATCGACGCTGGGAGAGAATTATACTATCACCGTCCGTGACTGTTTCAATCACTAAGAAGAACCCCGGTTTGCCCAGATCACGGATCTTGAAAGCTGTGGCAAGTCGTTGAAGAAGAGTGTCCACTAGTGGCGCAGCATTATCCATCATGATAATGTCATCCACGTAGACAAGTAAATACACCCGCGATGTCCCCTCAATGTAGTAAAAAAGGGAGACGTCTGTTTTGGAAGCTGTAAACCCTGTAGATAGTAAAAAATCATGTAATCTTTTGAACCAGGCTCGTGGAGCCTGTTTCAAACCATACAGGGAACGCTGTAAATGACAGACGTGCCCAGGGGTAGCTGGATCTTCATACCCTGGAGGTTGCTTCATATACACCGTTTCTACCAGATGGCCGTTCAAAAAGGCATTGTGAACGTCCAGTTGGCAGAGTGTCCACATGTGAGACACGGAAAGAGAGAAAAGCATACGAACCGTGGTGGGTTTGACCACAGGGCTGAAGGTTTCAAAGTAATCCTCGCCTGCCACCTGATTGAACCCTTTGGCGACTAGACGGGCTTTATAGCGCTCTACCGAGCCATCAGCATTTCGCATTGTGCCGAACACCCATTTGCAACCAATGATGTTCATATGTGGCTCCGGCGCCACTAATCGCCAAGTGTGATTGTGTAACAATGCATTGAACTCCTGATCCATGGCTTCACGCCAATGTGGGTGTCCCACAGCTTGGGAGTAACAAGTTGGATCAGTAGTTGTATTTAACGCAAAAAATGGCTCAGCTGTGTCTCGAGTCATATGTCGGAGACGCATGACATGGTCCCGACTTTGAGGCTGAGCTCGTGCCTTACGACGACGGACCGGAGCAGTATGAGCTATAGCCAGTTGGGGCGGGGCACTATCCAGTGGTATAGACTCGGGCCCGGATTGAGGCGCTGGTACATAGGTGGGCCCGGACTCGACTACAACCGGCCCAACGGCCCACGGTAGGACAGGTGGTGCTGTCTCTTGATTTGGAGTTCCTGTTGCAAATGGGAAAATATTTTCGTCGAAACGAACATGCCGACATATATAGGTTTTCCCACTTATCAAGTCAATACATCTGTATCCCCTAAAGGAGGGCGGGTAACCTAGGAAGACGCATGGAGCCGATCGATACTCAATCTTATGCCTGTTATACTGGTGCAGATATGGGTAACACCGGCACCCGAAGACACGAAGAAATGTGTATGGTGGTGGTGTTTTAAACAGACGAGTGTATGGGCTTTCAAAGTTTATGGCCGATGACGGAAGGAAGTTGATTAAACAAGTGGCTGTTTCGAAGGCGTGTCCCAGTGTTGTTGCGGGACCTTGCCTTCGGTGAGTATAGCAAGACCGGTTTCGACAATTTGTCTGTTCTGGCGCTCAACCCGCCCGTTTTGTTCGTGCGTATAAGCACAGGACTGACGGTGGTTTATACCGAGTGTTTGGAATATAGTGTGTAATTTTCGGTACTCACCCCCTAAATCCGACTGAATAGACTTGATAGAGCGCGAAAACTGTCGCTCTACCAAAACACGAAATGACTCAAACACTTTATATATATCTGATTTTACCCGTAATGGATAAAACCAGCAGAATCTAGAGTAGTCGTCTACAAATAGCACAAAATAGCGGAAACCATTTGTAGATATTACAGGAGAAGGGCCCCATATATCAGTAAATAATAAATCTAGTACATTTTCACTAGAGTTGGGAACCCGATCTAATTTAAATCTTGATGATTTGCCGAGATGGCAGGCCGTGCATGACTCCAGTGACTCCGATTTATTTGATGTGACCGGGCACTGCTGTAGGACTTTATTTAATACTTGTTTATGAGGGTGACCGAGTCTACGGTGTCACACAGTGGGCTTAGCCCGGGAACTGACGAACGCATGATGTGATCGGAACACAGGGAGCTTGTACAGACCGCCTGACGTGGGACCCTTAAGTAGAACCGCTTTGGTTGTGGAGTCCTTCACAAAAAAAAGTCATTATGAAATTCAAAAAATACTTTGTTCTCAGAAGTAAATTTATGCACGGATAAAAGCGGAACAGACAGACTCGGAACATGCAAGATATTGGACAATTCTAACGGTCTAGACACGGATGGGAGAGATGTACGACCGACTCGTGAGATAGCCAAACCTGCTCCATTTCCAACCCGTAGCACGTCTGGACCAACGTACTCATCCAACATCTGCATCATACCGGCGTTGGGCGTTGCGTGTGCCGTGGCCCCGGTGTCCGGGTATCAACCGTCCGACGGTAGAGCCGAGGATGACGCCGGTGCTTCACCAGAGATGGCAACGTGAGCCTGCGCTGGAGGTTGGGTACTGTATCTCTTGAAGCAGTAGACGACCGTGTGGCCGTGAGATCTGCATATCTGACATCTCGGACTCCCACGACCACCGCGAGCCTGACTACCATGACTGCCACGCCCACGGTTGTTCTGCGACTGCTGGCCGCCACTGCCACCTTGCGATCCACGACCTGGAGCAGCGTATATGGCTGTCGGAGACACGTCGGCTTCAATGCTTGATGGATAATCATCCACGAGTATAAACTCGTGGGCTTGCAAAAAATCAGATAAGTGCAACAGAGAGACGGGAGTCCCCGAGGCAGTGAGGGAAGCTGCGATGGCTTTGAGCTCCGGACGCAACCCGCGGAGAACGTATAAATTCTGTTCCATCAGAGACAAGGGCCGGCCAGCTTGTGTAAGCGACTCCACCAGGAGCTGCGCTCGCCCTAAGTATTCGGCGGTGGTGGCGTTGCCTTGTCGGAGCATCTGAAATTTCCCCAAGAGACTCAGACACCGAACATGACTGGATGATCCGAGCGCTTGAGTGATGGATGCCCAGACTTCCGTGGCGGTGCTCCGGCCAACGGCTAGGTGTAACACCTCGTCCGACATGGATAAGACGAGCAGCGACAACATGGACTAGTCTTGCTTCTCCCATGCTCGAAACGCTGGATTTGGAATTAATGTTGCAGTTGCCGGAGTGGAAGACGAGTCGCCGGAGGAGGGGGCTTCTGTAACACTCCGTGTTACGGCCTTCAATCCCGGATTAATTATTTAATTAATTCCGCTAATTAATAATTAAAAAGGGATTTAATTTGGTTAAGGATTCCCTTTAATTAATTAATGTGGTCCACCATGGATTGTGGACCCTTAACTAAACTAGAGTCTTAAGCCTATTAGGAATAAAGAAAGTCAACCTTTTACTAATCAGATTCTAATTAGGAATCCTAAACCTATATATCTATTAGGAATAAAGAAAGTAAGCCTTTATTATTCAGATTATGATTAGGATTCCTGATTCTATAAATAGGGGATTAGAAAGCAATTAGAACCTTTACCACCCATAGTTATATTACACGAAAATATTCCCGGGAGATTCACCACCACCAAGCCTAGGGAGATCAATCGGATGAAAATCTTAGAGAAGAACCTTTATAGCCAAGGGAGGATTAATTAAGGCTAAGAGGTAACCCATGTCTCAACAAAACCTATTTTCCTTGCTATATTCTCCTTCTTTGGCTCCCTCTATATGCTTGTGTCTTGATGAATTCCTTTATGATATTCGTAATATTATCTTGTTGATTGATGTGATGATTTCGTGTGTGATCTTGATGATCTTGATGTTAAAAAGAGGTTCTTGATATTTATGTAATGATTCTTGATGATAAAGATAAAATATGATTTTGATGATTTGTATTGGATTAGAGCCCTAGGTTGGGTTGGGAATTTGTATTATGATATTCTTGGTTTATACTTGGGAGGGAATTTGCATGTTCGGGCATTATTTATGTTTAGAAGTCATGTTAAGATGTGTTCAATATGATTCTTGCTTTTGATCCATTAATTGCCTACGTGGTGTCGTTATTTACGTTTAAAAAGGTCTTAGAATGGTTTCGGGTTCCCCGGGATCCCGGGACGCGTATTTGATGAAAAGAGTCAGTGGGGGGTAGGTGGGGGTAGGGGTACCCGCCACCTACCCGCTGCCCGAGAATTACGGCCAGGCAGCGGGCAGTCGGCGGGTAGACGCCTGACCGCCGACCACCTGCTGCCCGGAAGGTCATCGCCGGCAGGTGACCCCCACCCACCGGCTACCCGCTGGTCCGTTACCCACCCCGGGTCCTCGGCTTCCTCGTTTGATGTTCCCCATTCCCCGTAGTGTCCCAACGGACCCCGTTTATCGTGCTTGTGTCTAGTTTGATGTTTTGGGTGCCATTCGTAGGATAAAAGAGTCTTAGGAATTGCATGCTAGTGAATCGGTAACCCGTTGGCCTAGGAGAAGAATGCATGAACCCCTTAGGACTACTCTTAGTATGTGAATGATCACACGTAAGTTTATTTATTCACCTCCCCCTTCCCAATGTGCTATTATGTGCTACGATGTGTTATGTGATGCATGATTCCTTAATTTGGTTGCGATCAAATTGGCTATACGGGCAGTTGGATGGGTTAAGAACCATACCAACTGTTAACCAGGCCGGTTGCGATCGGTCAGGTATATAAATATTATATAGGGCTGCGGTCCACTGTTTGGTTGTACATGAGCTGTGGTTCATTCTCCTGGATGCGGTCAGTGATTCACTTCTTGGGCTACAGCCCATGGGCCTCGTGTGCGGATGGTCCACTGACTGGACGCGTCAGCGGTGTGTAGGGCCACCAGCCTGAGGAAGGCCATAGCCCACCGACCGAGTGATCGACGGTGTGTAGGGCTATGGTCGGCTGCGACCCACCGACTGAGGGCCAGCGGTGTGTAGGGTCGTAGTCTCCGAGGATCATCGCCCACCGACTAAGATCCTTAGCGGTGTGTAGGGTTTTCGCCCACCGACTAAGGTTCTCAGTGGTGTGTCGGGCTTGATTCACTACGATCCACCGTCTGTGCTCATCAGCGGTGTGTAGGGTCGTAGTCCCTGTAAGAGGATCACAGTCCACCGACTGAGCGCGTCAGCGGTGTGTAGGACTGTGATCCGCCGTCAAACTATTGGCGGTCTGTACGGTTGGTTGCGATCAACCCCTTCATGCTGCGGTATGAGGTAGGGTGCTGCGGGGCCATGTTAGTGCTATATGCACTAACCCGCATGTTCGGGGCATGTGATTGGTCCCGTGGCGCCACCAAAGTGTGCTTATGTGACTTGGATAATGATTTGAATGGTGATGATTTGAATGATGACTTGAATGACGAATAAATGATGATTGAATGATGATGTGGATGACTTGAAAGTAAACTGTGACATTAGATACATGTTCCTTATGATGTTGTCTTTATATAACTGTTTATCTTGATTGAATGTGCTTATCCCTACTTGTGAGTCTATCCCTGATTTTAAAGCTAGAGTTCCCTAAGTATATATCTTCTTGCTTCAAAATGATTTTCGTATATATATATATATATATATTTATCTATCTATAATGTATTTTAACGCGTTGGAGTGGGTTACCAGCATCATTCGCTGAACAGATATATTTGGCTTTCAAGCACAGATAAGTAGACCCCGGAGCGCGCTAGAGATCCTGAGCGTAGAGTAGTTAGTTTCCTTTCGGCCTGCGTGCCATGATTATGTATTGACATTACTTTTGTAACACCCCGAAATTTTTAAAACTTTTAAGGACTATATAGCAAAGGTAAATGATCATAAATCCCAACATGTTTGTCAATCATAATACAAAGAGTACGGGGTGCTATGCCACACCTTGAGCTAGAGAACTCAGGTGCACAGGCTAACTAACTAATATCCTCAAAGATGCAAATACATAATCATGGCACGCAGGCCGAAAGGGAAACTAACTACTTCTACGCTCCACGGTTCTAGCGCGCTCCAGTGTCTACCCTTCTGTGCCTGAAAGCCAAATATATCTGTTCAGCGAGAGATGCTGGTAACCCACTCCAACGTGTTGAAATACAATACATATAGATATATACATAGATATACAAAAAACCATTTCGAAGCATGAAGATATATCCTAAGAGACTCTAGCTTTCAAAACAGGGAATAGACTCGACAGATAGGGATAAGCACAGTCAACAGTTATACCAAGCATATATAGTTTTCCAGCATAAAGAACAGGCACGATAGATAGAGGCAAGCACATAACCACGCATATACAGTTGCTAGCATAAATCCTATAGTCACATTCTCAAACCACACATAACAACATTTTATCCATAACTCATCACATAAGCACACTTTGTTGGCGCCACAGGACCAATCGCATGCCCATACATGAGGGTCAGCGCATATAGCTCTGACACGGCCCCGCAGCACCCTGCCCCGTATCGCAACACGGAGGAGTCGATCGCAACCGACCGATGAACCGCAGCTCATCATAGTTTGATTGCAACCAAACAGTGGACCGCAGCCCAATAGTATGTCATCTGACCGCAGCCAGGAAATATGAACCGCAGCTCATGTAACACGTTTGATCGCAACCAAACGGTGGACCGCAGCCTGAGAGTGTAAATCTGACCGCAGCCAGCTTCTGAACCGCAGCTCAGGAATAACCAATCCGATCGCAACCGGATTGGGGTATCATGCACACATAACACATAGCAAGCACATGCAACTCACATTAACACATTGGGAAGGGGGGAGAAAACGTATAACAAAACCTATGCGTGATCCTTCACATACCAATTCAACTAGCATGCGATATATAAGACTCATACAACCTACGAACGGTACCCGAAATATCAAACTAGACATAGGCACGATAGACGGAGTCCGTTGGGACACCACGGGGGTCGGGGGCACATCAAACGGGGAAGCCGGAAACCCATGGTAGGGTATTTTCCAGCGGGTAGCCGGTGGGTGAGGGTTCACCCGCCGGTGGCATAATTCTGGGCAGCGGGTGCCCGGCGGGCAGCTGCCCGCCCGCCGGCTGCCCGCTGTCGGCGTTGCTCAATTAGGCCGCGGGTAGGTGGCGGGTCCCCTACCCCCACCTACCCCCCACTGACTCTTTTTCACCAATAACGCCCCGGGAACCTTTGTGGAACCCGAAACCATGCTTAGACACTTTCAAACGCAATTGACAACAATACGTAGACAATTAAGGGATCCAAAAGCAAGAACATACGGCACATAACCTATCATGCTTTTCTAAACATAATTAACACCCAAACATACGAATTCCCACCCAACATACCAAGAACGATACCATACGAGTTCCACGATACAACCTAGGGTTCTAATTACTTTTAAATCAACAAGAGCACAATTCATCTTCTAATATCAAGATTCGGTAGGAATATCACATAAACATCAAGAACATCATATAATCATCAAGAACATCAAGAACACCATATAATCATCAAGAACCTCTTAATACCATTAAGATCATCAAGATCACCCATGGAATCATAACACCAATTACCAAGATCAATATAACGAATCATCAACACACAAGAATATGGGGGAAATCCTAAAAGGGGAATCATAGCTATGAAAATAGGTTTTGTTGAGACATGGGTTACCTCTTAGCCTTAATTAATTCCTTGGCTATGAAGGGTCTTTCTTTAAGCTTTCTTCTTTCTTGATTTCTCCTAAGGGAATTCTTGGAATTCTTGGTGTGGTGAGAGATTATTGTGGTGGGAGTTCTAGGTGCCTCCTATGTTCCCTATTTATATATCTAAGAGTCTTACTTAGGGTCCAAGTACTATAGGCTTGCTAACTCTATTCCTTTTAGGACTAGGGGTTGGGTTTAGAGGTGAGGGCCCACAGACTATGGTGGGCCTTTTCCTAATTAATTGTGTAATTTAATTCTTTCTTTTGGGTAATTAGTTAAATGATTAATTGGTTTTAGGGATCGTAACACGGGGTGTTACAACTTTGAGGATATTTAGTTAGTTTAGCCTGTGCATCTGAGTTCTCCAGCTCAGATGTGGCATAGCACCCCGCACTCTT